CTTCGGCCCGACGTTTCGGATGCTTTGTAACAGCCGTGGTCACGGGGAATCTCCCCGTTAAGTTAAAAATCATTTTCCAATAAGTTTAACTAATATATCGCATTTTAAACCGTTACAGTGTTTTATTCATAGGTGTCACTTTTCAAAAAAAAAAATAACAATAGTAAATTAAATATATAAAAAAATCTATAAATGTAAAAATTACGACACTGGCAGGTCTGACACCGGCATCCACAGCGAATGTGCGACAAGTGAAAAATATTAAAGTTTTTTTAAATATTTTTTAACAATAATCCTAACCGACTTCAAATAGTAAACTAAAAGAAAAAAAAATGTACTTCCCATAGTAATACGTATTTTAATTTAGTGGAATAGAAATGATTGATTAAATTTTTTTATAAATCATTTCATACAACAAATATAATGTTGAATCCGTTGCCCGTTTTGTTTGACAGAGCAAAGAAGCGTTTGCCTTTATATAAAAATAAAATTTGGATTTTCATAAACTAACTAACTGCAATTTTAAATGTCCTACAGTGTATTCATCTAGCAAATGAAGACGAACACAAGTTGAGTTGTATGCAAGAAATTGTAATTTAAAATGGAAACATGAATAAATACAGATAGCAATATCCTTATATCAAGACTAACATTGCAAGGACTATGTAAAGAGTTATATCGAAAAGGCAGACGTATAATGTGGAAGTCAAACGCTTCACATATGTTGCCTGTTATATTTTTTATTGCACAGCACTTTTCGACGGCTTCGAAAATCAAATATTGTGGAACGTTTTTTAGAGACCACTTGATTCATGTTGTTTACCTTTTTTAGGGTTCCGTAACCGAATAATAAAAAGTTACCCTTACTATGACTTCGCTGTATGACTGTCTGTTCCTAAGCTTTAGATACACGATAGCTAGAGAATTGACATTTTTGCAGATTGTTTATATGGTATGAATAAATGATTACATACCAAAAGAGAATTGTAATGTGTAACGTCTGTCATGTACCAAGCCAATACAGAATCTTTCATACTAGAGTCCGACTCACACTTGGCCGGTTTTATTGTTCTTAGTGAGTAGTAGTAAAAATCAACCGTCAAACAGATACAAATGTCATTCACATCAGTCATCTGTAGATTACACGAGTAGTACACATTTAAATATAACACTATCAACGGTTTAAAACTGAAAACATATTTAACTGAAGTTTTGCATGCTTTGCGATAGTTAGATATCATAAAGATGGAGGGTGTCCCTAATCTCAAAGTCAGTCTTCTGCACTAACGCCATCTGTTGCATTAAAATTAAACAATTTCAAATATTTAATGCAAATGGCGCTAGCATAACAGATTTGATTAAAACATTAAGGTGGAAACAAGTAATTTCAACCAAATATTTATTAAGAAAATTTTAGATTATTTAAATTTCCTTACGAAAAAAGCTTTCAGTGAGATTAGGATGATTATGTGAGCCGTATTGAAAGCTTTCTATGCTAAAGTTACATTTAGAGATTAAAGCTACGAGTATTACTTAAGCTCCTTGTACTGCACAGGATGTTAAAAGTGGTACGGGTAGTAATCTTCGACAATGCCTAGAGTCGGGTACTCACTGACGCGCCGAGAGTCACAAATTTTTCATGCACTCCTAGTACTCTCTAATAAAAGAGATGGTTTTATTCACTGTTAAAATGTAAATCGTTGGTACAAATGCATGTGCTCGTATAGTGTATTTTTTCCTACCTGGTAAACATTTTGGTACAAACAAACAAACACAATTTCCATATGATTTGCTCACACGATTTACATGGATTCACACAAAAAAAAATACTTGATTATTGAGACACTGGATTATATATTAAACTAATGTCGCTTATTTATGCTTTATCCATTATTTATGAGCGACATTTAGATTTAGATATATAAAGTAAATTTTAAAATTCAGTCAAAAACAAAGCTCAGTTACATTTCGCTAGTGAGTACCCGGCATGAGATTAAATAGCAGTGTAATCTAGATCCTTCTATTGGATAAATCCGTACCCTGATAACGGTTAGAATTATTGAGACTATTAATAAATTGCCCTCATTCAGCTCGATGTTGAATGTGAATGAGGTATTATTTTTAATCTACCCGTAAGTTTTATACGTAGCTATTTATACTTTGTACTAGTTGTGTCAGCGACTTTTTGTTTTTGCAAATCTCTTCCTAATCGTTAAAAATTATAGCTGTTACCTACGACGTCGGTCGCGTCCCGTCGTTCTTGCAAGTTAGCGTTAAAACATAGAGATATATTGTTGTAGACATTTTTTCATTTAAATTGTTTTTCGCAATGTACGCAACGGAAACCCTCAAAGATGAATATATTTTTCCGTGATGTCCACATAACTCAATGTTTCTTTGCTGCCATTGGTAACATCGTCATTGTTTGTAGCCTAAAGCCTTCCTTGATAAATGCTACAATCTGTCTGTCCTTCTCTACCATAAAAATATATATTTATGCCTTAAACTGCTTTATAAACAAGAGAACTTCATAAATAAGTGAGGTCGGTAGTTCGATGCTCAGTATTTCACTAAAGTACTTGTCTATAGTTGAATAACAAGTATTAAATTTCACCATCATTTATTAAAGCTCACAGCATTTTAAGTCCTAGCTGTGGAGACTGTACCAGTTTGGTATCTGTAATACAACCTATTTTCTTCTTCTTTTAATCAAATTTTATTGTAAAAGTATATTAGACCCGAGTGAAATTCGAAGTTTCGGCGTCCGTTCACCCCAGTTATAAATAAGTAGATAAATTAATTGTTAATTTATTATTTGCTGTTTAGGGTTCCGTTTTCGAAGGAAAGGAAAAAAGTCACAAAGGACTACTTTGGCCGCAATATAGAGATTTTGAACTTTGACCAATTTTCAGGAGCCACTGTTCGAATTGAAAAAAATCTATTTGCGATGGTTAGGTTTTTAAAGGTTTATTCTCACAAAAATTAGTTTGACTTAAATTTGGATTGACAAAAGATTAATAAAATTACATGTACATAGGCGAGTGGTTTAAATAATAATTTTAAACACACGCTACGCTACCGTTAAATTAATATATTATACAATGTTTTGTTCGACGATATATTTTTTTAACATCTTCTTAAAGACTTCGCAATTATTATTTTTAGGAATATAAAAAAGTATTAAATATCTGTACTACTCACACAGTAAAAAAAATCGGAGAAATTATTCATATTTGAAAAGACATGTTGCGAAAAGGGATAGTTATTCTTCATTAAATATTCTAAAAGAATAATTTTTTTTTTATGGTAAACAAATTTGGTCGAAAGACTCTACGTGAACAAAGAACGTTTGCCAGGACAACTAGTAAAAATAAAGGTTACAACGTGAAATTTGCGTACCTAGTTAATGATACGGAACCTTTCGTGCAAGAGGCCGATTCACACTTGTCCGTTTCACAGTTAGGCCAAGCGCCGTAACGTTATTACCGTATATTTTGACACGAACGGAAAAATATTCTGTTTGCTCCGAATAATGTAAGCAATTTATTTATTAAAATCGCGCTAAAGCCCTGCTGAAATTAAAATTGTGTTTACGAAGCGGTAACGCGTTATAGGAAATGTCATGAGCCAAGGCGCCGAAGCGTCCTTTCATCTGTTATTGGCATGTTCCGATACAATACGGCTTATTAAAAGCGCTTAAGATTGAACGCCCCAGTTTTATTGAACTTCAATTTTCCCACGCCGTGCACCCAGATTGCGAGAGCGTTTTCGTATTTATGCTGATAGTTGACAACTATGAGTTTTATTGGCTTGGAAGCACCGAGCTATATTGAGTCGGATGCGCCATCGACCTATATTTATTTTTAGCCAGATGGAGCCTGTGCTTCTCGCCATTTCCACCTATAAATTACCTCTCGATTAGTTCCCAATTTATAGATTGAGGTTACGGTATTTTAGAAGTGATATTGATTTTCGAAGATGAAGCAATACGATGCAGTAGTTAATATCATTATTCTAAATAAGGTTTTTCATGATACAGGATGACAGACAAGCAAGCATGGGGTTATCTCGATGGAAGGTGAACATCTAAACAAAATTCGCTGTTCACCTATTTTGGCTTTGGATATTCGGATTATATTACTTTTAATACCGCATTTATAACGTGCTAACTTTCGACATTTGATTAAGTATTTTGTAAGAAAAAAGTAGCCTTTATTTCCTTATTGTTCTTTTATCTTGCTCTTTTTCTAAGACTCATTTTGCGATTCAGACGACATAGATTCGATTCTATTGGTTCTAAGATATGTTGTTCTCTTATGACAGACCTAGCTTCGATACAATATTATAATAGTTAATCACGTCCAATAATAAGATTTTTTTATGTCTATACTAATACAGTAAAGCTGAAGTTTATCTGTTTCAACGCGCTAATCTCACGAACTACTGGATCGAATTGAAAAATCATTTTTATGTTGGTTAGAGTATTCATCAAGGAAGTTTATATAAAACAAGCGAAGAAGCAGCGGAAAATGTGGAAAAAACGGGGAAAACTATTTATCCTTGTGGGCTTCCATTGCGTACGCTGTGAACACGGTTCAAGATATAACATAAAATAATAATTTCTAAAAAAGTGTCCACGACAGTATACGTCTATCTTTTAAGGTTAACTTGCGAGAACGACGAGACCCGGAAGACGCCGTGTGTAACACCAATAATTAAAAGAGTTGAACAGGAGGTTTGCAAAAACTAATGTGATGCCCAAAATAAGCTAGAATTTAAATAAAGCTCGTATTAAGTTGTTTTGACTCGTTTGTTGTAAACATTTCATTGAGCATGTAATTGACAGTTACATATACAAACAAGGAAAATGTTTATATATTAATTGAATGCGCAACAAATTAACAAATTTGAACTAAAGTGCATTTGTATATTGTTCACAGAGATGTCTCAATACAACAGACCTTACGTCGTTGGGAGTGGGTTCCTGTGCCGGTACCGGGATGTACCTGGTCTCGGGGATGGTAGTCCAAAAATTTGCTGGCCCCGGTGCTGCTTTGAGCTTCATCATTGCAGCTGTAGCCAGCATTTTTTCTGGTGAGATATAACATTAAGGGGCTCTAGAAAGACTAATTAAAAATAATATGATTCCAGATTAATATATTGTCTACTACGCAGAACAAAGTATGTATGTCGCAACTTCGAAAAGAACCCAACGCTCAATATTTATTTACATTTAAATAATATTCAATCGAATTAAAAATAAGTTACTTAGGAATATTTAGTGTTTGAAACAGTTACAAGTATAAATAAAAAAACGATTACAATGTATATATGGTCTGAACAACAGGAATGCTGTGGATGTCGGTTCAAGTCCTGCGCGAAACGTAATTTTTTTCAATTTATAATTGATTTTTTTTTTATAGTGCCATCATGTGAAAAATATTCAAGTTTTTAAACAGTTAGAAATGTCGTGTATAAATCTCGAGTTAATTATAGAACGCAATCACAACACGTTATTATACTTTATTTGTTTGTCAGGTGTCTGCTATGCTGAATTCGGTGTACGAGTACCAAATACCACCGGATCAGCCTACACTTATTCCTATGTGACAGTTGGAGAGTTCATTGCATTTATCATTGGCTGGAACATGCTACTTGAGTACTTGGTAAGACTATTTTTATGAAGGAGGACAGACAAGCATGGCGTTCCCTTGATGGAAGCCATATATCATAAACTAGATGTTGTCTCACTTTTATGGCTCAAAGAAAATCCACAGACTGAAACCAAAAGGCGATTTTATTTATTGGCGTTGATTAAAAGCCTTAAATTGCTACTGCTCCCTACCTAAATACAAATTTTATGACCACCTAACCTTCGATTGTTGAATTCATTTATTTGTCAACAGATTGGAACTAGCGCTTGCGCGCGCGCATTGAGTGCTTGCTTCGACTCACTATGTGACGGTGCACTTTCAAATTATTTAGCTGAGCACATCGGTACTGTTTTTGGTAAATATCTCATATAATATCGTAGTTTGGCATAATTCAATTGTTGACTGTGGAAAGGTAACTGTGTGTGGAAAAAGACTTTATTATGGGTCCAATGCTACGACTTACATACATAATACTGGCTGTACCCGCGCGTCCGCAAAGAATAGTTAGTTTAGGCATCAAAAATACTTTTTGCATATCTCCTAATTAAATTAGCCCATAACGTTGTCGGCGTCCCGTCGTTGTTGCTTGTTAATCTTAAAAGATGGACACATCCCGTTGCATTCCAGCGTACGCAACAGAAACCCTCAAGGATGAATATATTTCCCCGTTTTTCCATATTTCCTACTGTCTTCGCTTCTATTGGTCACAGCGTCATGTTTCATAGCCTAAAGCCAAAGAAAAAATAAGAGATAACTTTTCATTTTGAACCAGTAGCACTGTATAATCGTATTGTAATCGGAGAACAAAAGAAACGTATTTCAAGTTAGAGATAAGTACGGGTTAGTTGCGGTACCAATAGTTAGTTGTTAGGACGTATATACGTAATTTCAAGACACGAAATGCAATTGATAACTAAAAGTAATCATTCGGGCCAGGTCATATAACCGTTTATGTTTTATTTGACGATTTCAACGTTATAGTATACTGAACTTCCTTAACTATATTTAAAATGTTATGTCACTTTCATTATATTTGTAAGATGATTAAATATTTGTAGAAACTTGAAAATGTAAAACTCAATTCTAATACAAATACAATATAAAATAGTTTAACAGTACTTCTCACTTTTGCTAAAAGCTTTTGCATTGGAACTTGCTTTTAAATTACTTGTTTTATTTCAATATCGTCTGGAAGCGAAGAGCTTGACAATTCGCAAGATATCTGTATGTATTTCCAGCAGATTGTTCTAAAACGAACAACAAAACTATAACATTAATTTTTAAGATAGAGTAAGACAGTACAGCCAAAGTTTCCTTCCTACCGGGCATTTAATGTCCAGATTATCCAGACGAGGTCAAATATGTTTTATAAAGCTGTATAATATACTAGTTGTGACAGCGACTTCGTCTGCGTAGAATATTTACTTTGGTTATCAAATCTTGTTTTTGCAAACCTCTTTATCTTTATAAACGTAAGCTGTTACCCACGACATCGGTCGCGTCGCGTCGTTCTTGCAAGTTAATCTAAAAAGATATAGCGTCGTGGACATTTCTTTAGATTATTTAAAGAGGAATCATTATTTTATACATATTTTTTGGAAATCTTGAACTGTTTTCACAGCGTACGCAATGGATACCCATACAAATATTTATTTTTCCCGTTTTTTTTCACATTTCTCGTTGTTTCTTTCAGTTGGTCGCAACGTGATGTATGTAGCATTCCTCGAAAATTTTTCTAACCAACACAAATATATTTCTTCAATTCCGATCAGTGGTTCTTAGGATTAGCGCGTTCAAACAACCTCTTCAGCTTTATATATTACTATAGAGTTATAAAAACATTGGACCCAGTGTGAATCAAACCCGCCACCATACGTTTCAAGCCACACATTCGAATTGGAGTTATTTTGCAGGAAAACCTCCGGATTTCTTGGCGTTCACCATAACAGCTCTGATGACCCTGGTGCTAGTGGCAGGAGTCAAGAAGTCACTTATATTCAACAATGTTCTGAACATCATAAATTTGAGCGTTTGGGTCTTTATCATAACGGCGGGGCTTTTTTACGCAAAATGGGATAATTGGTCGTCTCATCATGGATTTTTACCCTACGGATGGAGTGGTGTAAGTGCTCAATATTTGTATTGCACATCTATCTATAACAAATGAAAAATACACTCACTTGAAAGTAGATACTTGACTTTTCACAGAGTCCATTTTTAAAGTGTTTTTTTCAATGGGCCTTTTATTTCTTAACTTTTTTATTATGAGAGGAAAGGACAGACAACAGTGTGGTTTACTTAATGTAGAATAAAACGGCCATGTAATAAGGTTGCGCTGTAGTTCTTTGGATTTGATATTAGGAAATGTAGAGACTGACAATAGCTTGTGACCCGGATGAAATTTTGATTAACCGAATATCCAGATTTTCAGGACTATTATGTTTTTAGAAAATTATTATATGATTTAGAAACATGTTAGAATCGAACATATACAAACTGGTAAATAGTTTCTTCTCCTCTTTAACCGCCTAAATACAAAAAATACTTAGACCTAGTTTAAACCAGGACTACGGCCTCCTGGTTTAACCCTAATGGCCGCTCCACACTCTCCACGAGGCGACACGAGAGAACGCGAGTGCTAGAGTGTGGACGGTGCGCTCGAGTCCCCTCGCCTCGCCTCGCTAGCGCTCCGCTTTCTGTCGGTCTTTCGAGCGCTTACTTATTTGTTGACTGCTGCCGTCCATCTTGCACTAGACGTAACGACTAACTAAATAAAATGGAGAGTGTGGATGACTAGCTCTCGTGCAGTCTCCGCTCGCCAAGACTCGTGGCGAGAGCCTCTAGGAGGCGCCTCGCGAGAGTCTGGAGCCGCCATAAAACTCGACCTTAATGTAGCCGTAAATCCTGGACTACGTAAACTTGAATTTTAAACCATTGTCAAACGATCATCATGCACAATTATGGATTTTATATATTGCCTAGGTCTAGACCAGGTTTAAAAGTTAGATCTCGTTTTGTAAAGGTGTAAGAGTGTTTATTTTTATAGGTATTCAGCGGCGCAGCGACATGTTTCTATGCTTTCATTGGATTCGACATCATAGCTACAACTGGTGAAGAAGCGATGAATCCAAAACGGTCGATCCCTCTTGCAATCGTCTACAGCCTGGGAATCGTTCTTATGGCATATGTGACCTGCTCCCTAATGCTCACCTTGATAGGTAATTATCTCAATAAAAAAAATAGACAGGACTTTTATAAAACTTGTAACTACAGAACGCTTTGAACAGTTTTTATGATTTGTCATTCTTTATGGAATTAAGAATGATTTGAACGCCCTCATGAGTTTCCATTCGTTTTATAAATTATTAGTTTGTCTATATGTTAAAAACTGGCTACAATTACAATGATAAATGATCTTCGTCATACATTCAATGTTGATTACACTGAACAGTCTAAACTAAATAAAACAGAACTACATTTGCAAACTAATAAAATATAACTTTCAACGGTTTAAAATCGCGGAATATATAAGTAAATTTCTTCATTACGACACCCTCTCGAGACGCAGACTTCAGTAAAGTATCCGAAACTTAAAGTCATAGTTGATAAATTAACTTAAGTATTAAAAAAAAAATACTTTAACGATTTAAAACGCGTATTAGTTAGACTATTTTTCCTAAGGCCTGAAGATTCAGATGCTTTACAGCAGCTATGGTCACGGGGATACTAAAGATGGACGGCGATTTCATGTCAAAGTAAAATAACTACCCTAGTGCCATCTGTTCCGTCGGCGTTTTAAACCGTTAAAAGTTAAAGTTTTTTTTTATGTTCTATTCGCGTAAACTACAGACAGAACGTAACTTTTAAACAGTTAAATTGTTTAATTTCAACATTAGTTAAATGTCAAAAAATAACTTAAGACTGTTGTAGAATATTTATTTATAACAATAATTTGCGGTCGATCGTTTGGCATTAACTTTTATTTAGGTTTTTGTTGTTAAACAAGTTATATTGTTACAGTACCCTACGACCAAGTGGTGACGGATTCAGCCCTACTTGAGATGTTCACTTACGTGAATGCACCGACATGCAAATATATCGTCGCTTTGGGAGCTCTCGCTGGTCTCACCGTCTCAATGTTTGGTTCAATGTTTCCATTACCAAGAGTTGTGTACGCAATGGCTCAAGACGGGCTGATTTTCAAGTAAGTTCATTATTCAGTCAAACAATGGAAACAAACAGCTATAGCGAATCATATATTTATTATACTTAGTGTATTTCTGCAACGTTTTCTTTCATTGACTTTGACTTGATGGAAGGTGAAATATCTAAACGAGATGCGCTATTGACCTGTTTTGGCTTGCATATTCGGAAATCTACAGACTTGAACCGAAACGCGATTAAAGTTCAAGGCTTCCGTCTGTGTAGGGCGACTAGTGGCGTGGCTGGGGCGGAATTTCAATATTCCTACCGCCTATTCAATATCCCGATTTCCAGACGAATTCCAAAAATTGTCAGGAAAATTATAAATTGATAGAAACAGGTTGGGCCCGGCGGGGATCCAACTCACGGCCATTAGCCCTACATTGCTACCATTACACCAAAGAACTCGTCAAATGTTCAATCTAGTATGTAATAATACAATTGTTTAGACAACTGGCGATGATATCCGAAGCTTCTGGCACGCCAGCTTTTGCAACCATCTGCGGGGGAAGTGCAGCGTCCATCGTTGCTCTTATTATTCACCTTGAAGTTCTTGTTGAAATGATGAGTATTGGTACGTATCAAATATCACATGAACTCAGCAACATTGGCTAAGCGCACAGCACCTTGGTCCTTGAGTTTCCGTCCGTCAGGGTACAGATGTGTGATCAACGACGTATCGATAGAACAAACACAGAATTTTTTTTTTCAGTGTTTCAGAACAATTTCTTAAACAATGCCTCTCTAAAAGAAGGTCCTAAAAATCGAATACGATGGACCATAAAAAGCCTTTTGTTTTTCAAGTAACGCAAGGATATAAACATTTCTTTAAATACATAGTATGACGAAAATGAACGTTATTTTGTTTTGAACCTAGAACTTTTTACGCTTTCAGTTACGCCCAAATACACCATTACTGATGTGACACCAGTCACATCAGTAAAAATAGCAGAATTATTTGGGATTACAAAAGAATAAATCAACTGGTTAAAGCTATTCAGTCTGTGTTTATATGGGGGACACTCATCATCGCATGATGATGTTATCCACTCGCGATGACCAAATACGAGAATTGTTTCTCAATAACGAAAGCCGAAAAGTAAAAATCTCAATAACAAAATTATATTTCCTCAAGAAACAGATCTCTTTTCAATGGTATTTAAATGTGATTTTTTCCCTAGGAACTCTATTGGCTTACACCTTGGTGTCAACGTGTGTTCTTGTTTTGCGATACCAACCGCATTCCACGAATTTGATTGAACTTCTACCACAAAGCCTTCGTACGCCGGTCGATCCAGAGGGCACGGCGTCTGGTCAGCAGGAAACAACATTTACGGTTTGTATTTAACGAAAAGTCCTTTTAAAAAATAATTGAATTTTTGAAATCTATATTTTGATATATTTTTGAAATGGCAACTTTTTATAAGAGGGTTACGTAACGCGTTATGGTACTAGTATCTGCCCTGCCTTCTTCTTACGCATATGAACTATCGATATTACATTATTTAACTTTGATTAGTTCTAGTTACGACGTCCTATAGGCTATCTATCTAATTCAAATACAAATTATATTTAATATTCTGACTTTTAATTATATACAAATTGCATTAGTATATATATGCACAGTATCGTATTTTATTTGTTCAGTTAAATATGTTGTATATTATTTACTTATAACCTATAATATATATTCGTCACATATATTGATAAACTTTGTTGGCTAATTTCATTTGGATAGTTTAAATCGTACCTCACTTTACGTAAAATAACGATGGACAATAAAAAGCTGTCCAAAACCCCTCTCTGGTTTCATAAAGGGCATTCAATTGATGGAGTGTGCTCCAATATCTTTTAAAATAATTGAAATATATCCGTTATATTCGAGCGTGGGATGAAAAATGAACAAGGTTTTATTTTCAACGGAAAAGCGTAATTCATTTTCAAAGGGTCAATAAAGGATGCATGCTTGCATCACTATTTTATATCATATGGTTTGCTCGAAATTACTTTATGAGGACATACTATCGACAATCCCTCCATTTTTTTTTATGATATCTCATATCATAAACATATTAAAAAAAATCTTCAATCATGTGTAATCCACAACACTTGATATAATCTGTGCCAAACTCGGGACAATGCTTACTAGTTTTATTGTATTGTTAATGAAGATTTTTTTACAAATGTTTACCATATATTTCTTTTGAGGAATTAGTTCTTTGAATATGTATATTCACTTTATGTATTAACCGTTAATAATGAGCAAACGTGACTTATAATTATGTAACAAATTAGAGAAAGAAACGTTACATATTATATACAATTAAGTAAATGTTTATTTTCCTGCCCTTTTAAAGCCTAGGCTGTGGAATTATATTGTATAGTTATTAAGCAATTTATAACTGAAATTATTTATTTTATAAGAGTCTTCGACGTAATAATTATCATCAACCTGTTGTTTCTATAAAATGTTAGTATTTTCAGCGAAGGAAACACCTAGCATTCCCTCACTATTAATTATAATAAGCTGTAATTAACTTCAGAGCGAGTCTTTGTCAAAGAAAAAGTGTGGTTGTATTTTATTTTACAAAATGAACAAGTTAATTGTGTCTCTAAACTAATCTATAAAAATCCTGTTGAGGTGTACACCAGTATCATAAATCCATACGAGCAAATTATGATGAAAACGCGATCTTAAAAAGAAAGTTTTTCTAATATTTAATTATGGATAAAGATTGTTGTTGCTTACTAAGATGAAATTTAAAATACCAATATCGAAGTTAACAATTGAGAGGCTTATAATGGGCCACCTCCAAGTCTGACCCATATTTGTGAAGCGGCCTTTGTGAATAATTCAAAGAGGAACAAAGTGTCAAACACAGTGACAACTGAGACTGCGGTGAGCTAACTGACGAATTTGTTTTGTAAATATCTTTGTGACACGTACATGTTAATTGTAAACAACAATTTGTTATAAGTTAATAAAAAAATATAAATTAATAATAATTATTATTGGATTATAGTTGTATAATATAAAAAAATATTCTACATAAATATTTCCTTTCTGAAATCACTAACTCATTAGCCAATGTTTTGAAAAATATCCATATCCAATTTAAAAATCGAAAATAAATTGAAAAAATTTTCGACTCTGGTAGTCATTAAACCGGCATCGTCAGCGTTCCGTGCTGTTGCTCTACCAATTGAGCTGCCGAGTCCTACACCTCACGTAAAACCGAGTACAAGAACTACGTTTTATTACTCGTTTCTTTTTCAGGGAGCTCAGACCCACATCCTGCCGTCCAATCAGCGCGTCATGGTCCGTCGAGTAACGAGAAGGTAAATTCCCATTGCGTTGCGAATAATTCATAGCGAAACAGCAAAGCGAAAGGCCGGCCGAAACTTGTCACCATTTGTTTTCCGTGTACCTTAAGCGATTGAGTGTGTTCACAGCTCCCCGGATTCTGATGACACCTTGCCCGGCGACGAGAGTGAGGAATACGGGCGCGACGATGCGTTCCTAGTTAACTCTAATTCGGAGAACAAATTCTACGGTAAGCCTCTTTCCTTTTTCAAAAACAAATGACAATCTCTACACATTTTTTCAATACACTTGTCATTTATTGATAACTTGTCAAATTTATTAGCATACAGTTTAAACGTAATCGAGCTGCGAAATGTATATATTTTTTGAAACTGGATTTTTTTAAAGTGCGCTGAGCGTCGGTTTATTATTTTCAACCTACGGTCGTGTTTGTAATAACCGCTGAATGTTTTTTTTCCATTACTACAAAGTACAGCGGGTATTGCTTCCACTTACAAGTTCAAGAAACAAAAGAGCAGCGACGTGATATCGACAATGGATTATTTCTTATTTCAAATGATCGGACGAGACGGAAATTTTTTTTGAGGGTTTCTACTGGGTTGTAAGAGTTGGGAGAAATGCGCAATAAATGGTAAATTTAATAGAATAAGTCAAATAGACACCATTTTTCGACCTGGTGATTAAAAATTGTTTAGCCGCCTCTGTAATGTGTATTCTGTAAAAAAGTATTATGTAATATATAAACAGTGTTGTATGACTAATGTTTCTTTACTAGGAGCAGTGCCCACTGGTTGTTCTGGTTCTTCTCGATTCCAGCGTGTGTGGGATGGTATCTATCAGCGGCTATTCGCCATGTCCTACCTGTGCCCCGGACTACTACCCTGGATTGACTGCGGACCAGCTACAGAGCAAAGCGGTAAACTATTGTGTCGTAATTGAAAACTCGTAGATACACAATTTCCTACAACTCGGGAGCACAGTCGCGAATAAATCAGTAGGGATATTATAACAGTAGCGCGATATATTACTGGAACAAAACCCTGAAACGTATACAAACTATGTACGCTTAAAATAATCCTAATGGGCCAGTTATAAATAAAAAAACAAACAAATAATCTTATTTATAACTAGCTGAGTCATGCGACTTCGTACGCGTAGAATAATTATTTTGGATATCAATATTTTTTTTACAAACCCCTCTTTCAACTCTGTATTTGAGCTGTTACCCAAGACGTCGTCCGCGTCCTGTCGTTCTTCTAAGTTAATCTTAAAAGATAGGCATATACTGTCGCGGACTTTTTTTTAAATCATTTAAAGAATAATTCTTTCGTACATATTTTTTGGGTATCTTGAACCGTTTTCGCAACGTACGCAATGGAATTCCACAAGAATGAAAATTTCTCCGTGTTTTCGACATCTCCCGCCGTTTCTTTGCCTTCTTAGTCACAGCCTACTCCTAATAAATTTCACTCAAGAATTGAATTTGAACCAGTAGTTCCTGATATAAGCGCGTTCAAACAAACAAACTCTTCAGCTTTATATTTTAGTATAGATATCGGTAAATCACTTCATTTGGCATTCAAATTAATATAATCAATAATCATAAAAGAATAGATAAATGGATGGAAAATTTTAATTAAGGTATTTAAGAGAATAAGTTATAAAAAACTGCCAAAAGAGCCTTGCGTCGGCGTGAGCATAGTTAATTACAAAAAAAAAACAAATATTAATATGTATTTTTAATCCACAAAGTATATTCGAGAATATATTAGTGAGAAAAAGAAGAAGAATGCTGGCACGACCATTAAAAAAATAAACTTTTGAGATTCAAACTGCTTTATACGATTTTCTCTACATAAAACAATACAGTACTCTATAATCCTAGTGTATTATTGCTTGAAGCGTAATTTAATATTTAATTCCCTTTATGATCCCGTTCATCGCTTTAAGAAAATGTGCAGCATTTTATATTGCAAACTCAATTTTTCACATAATGAATGAAGTTAATTTCACTAGCTCCCCGTGAAGGAAATTTAAACATTGTGATAACCGAGGTAGCGTGATATTATTTTTATGAAACATTTTGGAGAGCTTATTTTAAAAGTAATAAAAGGGGACATAATATAATTATTTTACACGGTACAATATTTATCTACTATAACAATTCATTTTTATTCTAGTTATTATTTATGTAAAAGCTTAGTATATTATTTAACATTGAAATTCTTCCATTGATTCTATATATTTAGTTATGCATTAATAATAAGGAAAATATAAAATACGTTTTATACCTTACGTCAATATATATTTTTATAAATGATGATTATTCAAACAATAATAAATTAAGTATAGTTAAAAAGCTTATAACTATAACATCACAACGTTCTTAAAGCCTATCCCATGAGGGAAGAAGCTTTTGCCCAGCATTGGGAGCTTAGATATTTTTCTTTATGATAGAGGAAAACAGACAATCATGAGGTTACCTTGATGGAAAGTGAAATAATTCATAAAACATTTCAACAAGATGCGCTATCGATCTATTTTGGATTCAGAGCCCAAATAGGTCGATAGCGCATCTTGTTGAAATTCGGAAGTGACTGGAGCCGAAACGCGATTAAACTGTGACCCAGGCGAAATTACCATATTCCTACTACCTATTTCATATCTACAATTCCCGACGAAGTAAACATGTTTCAGAAAACTTATAAATTGATTTGGAACATCTTGGAACCGGTGGACATCGAATCCACAACCCGTGTATTTTCTTACGTTTATTACTTTGTTTATTAGCTATACGCTGCTACAATTAGACCAACGAGCGTAAAGGTTGGCGTGGTTGAAATGAAACAGTTGATATACAATCTACGTTACATTATAAGTAACTGTAATAAGTTTTTCTTCCAGGAATGTTCGTGATTAAAGCTGTCGGTATGATGTATTTCCTCGTGGCTATTTTTGACATACTCGCCGCCTACGGGAATCCCGGAACGTCGACATTCACGGCTGTATTAATGGTTCTTCTCGCTATAAGCATTATTACATTACTACTTATGATTTCACGGAAGCCGCAGAACCGGTATGTTGTATATAGTATGTGACTGTAGCTATATGTTATATAGTTATTGTAATTAGAAGTTATTTTTTTAAGACGTAGAAGGACAGACAAGTCTACGGATCGCTTGATATAAGTGAACCCTAGCTGTAATTTTTCTTTCATAGAGGAGGAGTCCCATACTCACTTGATGAAATAGCCACATGAAATCTAATAAAGATGTGTTGTCGTCCTATTTTGACTAATTGTAGCTCAATTGGTTAGAGCAACAGTACGGAACGCTGTGCCGTGCTTATGCCAGTTCATGGCCATGTCGTACATTTTTCCAATCTAAAATCGATTTCTAGGTTTTCCAATGTTGAAATATATTTTTTTATATTACAGACAAGGTCTTATGTACATGACTCCTGGTGTGCCCTTTGTACCAGCGATCGCTGTAATTGTTAACATCTACCTTATCCTGAACTTATCAATACTGACTCTCGTACGTTTTACCATTTGGATGACTCTAGGTATGTATCGTACTAAAGCAATAACTATTATAAAGAGACGGAAATAATATAATACTATGAAAGACACATTTATGTGTCTGTTTAAGAGGTTGATTTTACTTTGCCTAGCCCGACTGAAACTATTGTTTCTCCAGAACTTTGTACATCTCACACTTAAGATAGATAAGTAAAAAAATTTCTTAGATCAATTTTAATTAAGATTATCAATTTATTTCCCCAGGAATTGAATCAGGGACTTAACACATTGCTAGACAACGCTATTGCCTATTACGCGTCAACTTTACCAGTAGAAGGATTGTTATATTAAGAAAAATAGTCTTGACACTTCTGCTAATATAACTATAAATTTATACTAACACGAAACATTATTAAAATATTTTTATCACATACGTATTCTTTATGTATACTGTCTGTAGCTTACGCGAGTAGTTTAGTTAAACTTATTTGGAAATCGTCTTAACTACGGCCCGACGTTTCGGATGCTTTGCAGCAGCTGTGTGGGCAGCACTCCCCATGACCACGGCTTAAATCGTCAAAGTGTTTTATTTAAATCCCTAATGTATATTAAGGCTAATGAAAGATGAATTTTCAGGCTTAATCATGTATTTCAAATACGGCATCAAGAATTCAATGCTGGAGACGAACCCACCACAGCCGAGAGAGCCCACACCGCCACCGCCGAACCCACTGGACCGTACCATGCTGATTCCTGGACCTTCACAATCTTATCCCGTTGGCGACCGTAATATCTTCCAAGGAGACGGTTCTGGACCATTCGGTAACAACGATCAGTAAGTATAGTTTGCATTATTCATGAAATCTTTGCTTTTCGTGCTTTTTCAGTAAAATCTCGTTTTATGGGGGGAACACATAGGTGTGTCCGTTTCAATGATCGCTTTATTTACGGGCATATAGTTGATCAGAGTCTTCCTGTTCGACTTACTTTGTTAAATCCTGAACAATTAAGGCTGGTAGAGTCAAAGTGGCCAAATTACGAAAAAACATAATTTTTAATGGGGAGGAAAATAAAAATTCGCAATTAACTTAGGCCAAAATGAATTTGTATAAAAATCAAAATACTATTATTAGTGTAAGAATTATGTAAACAGTTTTCGGTCACTATGCTCTTGTGGATTTTTAGACTATAAGTCAAGTCATCAAATTTCAGTTAGGCTAATCTGGCTCTAGCAGCCAAAAATTCGTGTACAAAATTATTTAATTTAATTTAACTTTCAGATTCCCCGACCCTCTTCTCGCGTGGCACGTCACTGAGTTGGAACCTCCCCAGTCATCTAGTCGCACTACTGGACATGTTTCTTTCAAACAAGTGGAGACACGGTAGTAGTTAATCTATACTAATATTATAATGCTGAAGAGTTTGTTTGTTTGTTTAATCGTGCTAATCTCCACAGCTACTGGTTTGATTTGAAAATTATTTTTGTATTGGTTAGGAAATTTAGACTATAAAAATCAAGCTTCGACCAATAGGAGTAAAGAAGCAGAGCGGAATTTAGACAAAAAACGGCGAAAATTATTCGTCTTTGAGGGCTTCCGTTGCGTGAAATTTTGATTTCATTAAATTTATGTATGAAAGAATGATTGTTCTAATGATCTAAAAAAATGTCCGCGACACTATATGTCTATGTTAGATTAACTTGCAAAAACAACGTGGAGGAACGCGACGGATGTCGTGGGTAACAGCTTACGTTTATAAAGGAAAGAGTTTGCAAAAACGAACATGGATGCCCAAAATAACTATTCCACATGGATGTTGTCGCGAGCACAGCTAGTAGCGTAATATCTCATATAAAAATTTACAAAACAACATCTTTTTAAATTAACGTACTCGATCGCTCTTGGGTTTTTTTGCATGTGACCTGTAGGATAAGGTTTTTAATGAGCTCGGTTAAATTGTAGCATTGCATAGTAAAGTCTTGGAGTTCGATTTTCACCACATCTTATATAATATTCAGTCATTTTATAAATCATCTAAAAGTAATAAATAGATCGAACACCGTCCGCAGATGGACAAACCATAAAGAGTTGATGTGGGTCTGTTGATGGTCTAAAGCCAAAATATGACAGCGTAGGATTAATTAATGGGGCTAGGGGTATTTACAGCTTCATCAAGTGAATCCTATGCTTGGTTGTCTCTACGACCTAAATAATAGCGATCTAACGATACTATGTTTATACGCTACTGAACTTTTAGGACTAACTTATTACATAAATATATATAGGTAGATTGTAAAAATTTTACGACTCAGGCCGGACTTGAAACTGCATCCACGGCATCTCTGTTGTTCTAATCGATTGTAGCTACCATGTATTACACGTAATTGTCGAACTTTTTCATGATAGATACTTACGTATTGACGATTCAAGTCCCGATTGAGTCATACTTGTTTTCAGTCTAAATGAATATTTAATTTATATACTGACATCATGTGCAATAACGTGTAAAAATAGTAAAGCTATCTAATTTATAACATTTTATAATCTTAGTTACGACGCACAGACCAACAGCACTTCGTCGCACACATCGAGCAGACCGCCATGGGCCTACCCTGAAGTTACCTACGATTCTTGGAATGACTAAATACGCAAATTCATCAACATCCTTAGTTTTAATTATGAAATTTAATGGCGTTTTCGATGGTGAACATATTGGCTTTGTTATCTAGTCATCGTCGTATAAATATTTTCTTTAGTTCTTTGTCAAAACCTGTTTAGGACATGGAGAGTTGGATAGCTAATATCGTTCACAGAGGATGTAAAGATGAGTCAAAGAGTTAGCAGTTCATGTGTTCTGGTCACTCGATCTTCTTGCAATGTCCTTAATAGAAAATAATAATGATACCAATTTTTATGATATCAAAAATTGCGATTCAGTTTATATCTCGAGTGTTTTAATTCCAGTCGATTGAAATATTAAGTTTGACATAGAGAGAAGGAGGAGAATTTCTAACCAAATTCATATAAGTTTTCCAAAAACGTGTTATTAAAATGTCCCCGGTTTCTTCTGCGTGGAAACGTTTTGGTAGCGTTTTTTTTTTTAATTGAATGAAAATATAAGACTCTTAGTCTAGAATTTAGGATAATTATTTTCATCAACCATAAAACATTAAACATTAACACTTACAATCCTGTTTGCGTCTTTTCAATTAAAAAATCGGGGAACAATTCTACAGTTATGTATGTAGTGATAGAATATAGTATTTGTTTCAATTTTGTTATTCTTTCTACATCACCCACACTAAGTTTGTTGATTAATAATAAAGAAAACTAATTTCTATTGCAAAATTGTACTATACTCATAGATTTACTCTTAATAGAAATTTTCATTAATTCGTTAATGCTCAATATAGAAGCATATTTTTTAATACTTCTAACACGGTTACCAATGACATATCTTTAAGCTATCTTGTTGCCATATTAGATTTCAATCCCTTCGATTCGATGATGATTTATATTTACAGATCTTTTTGATTTTAATTGCCAACGCAGTTTTATAATGAAAATAGCGATAAGAATTACTTTATTAAAAGTAGTTCCTAGAAGAAACATGTTAAGTATATTCTAACAACAGAAACCTCTGTAATACTTTTTTAATTATTTTTGTTGTTAATTTTGTACGTTCTATCAAATATTATGAAAATCTAGTATAAAGCAACTATTTTTACAGTTAATACAGACGATATTTTGACTGGATTTATAAATAAGAAAATTATCAAATATAATCTGTATAACAAATGCACAAAAATAACACATTTCGTTTTAACATCTGTTGCGTATAAAATATATTAAAAATGCAATGCGTATAAAATATTATTAGGGTACAAAAACCTCATAACTCTAATTATTAAAATATATTCTTTATAATAGTTAACGAAGGAGATTGAAATGAATTAATTATTTAATAAAATAAATTCGGCTTAATTTCAGCCGACCTGCAAGAATAATTCTAAAACAAACTTTTTTTTTTTATTCCTATATTTTAGACGAGAAAGGATTTTATTTTTATTTTCAATCCGTAGGTTCGCTATTCTTGAGACAGCTAGTAACAAACAAACTGCGAAATCCTTGTAGTACATTATGGGTACGGAAGCCTATAAATTAAAATGCAAACAAAAATTTGTTTCTTATAAGCAATTTACATATACCGTTTTATTTCTTAAAGAAAAGAAGAATATGCTATTCTTATATGTGTTTGTATATATCTTGTAAACGTGATGTTATGTATGTATTTATTAAGTAAGAAAAATACTTACGCTTTATCTTACGTGTAAGTTAACAAAACTTTTAAATAATCTGACAAAAAAAAAATTGCTGATTTAAGGTGGGAGAAACGAACGACTTTTCTTCAAAACTTTTAACATGTTGGTGGTTACGACATTTTGTTAAAACTTACGCACATAATCATTACTTGTTTTCTCGGAAAAAATCAATTGAAAACTCGTTATCTCTTGTGAATGCTTGACGAAAGACGGAAAGTAACGTAGGATATTTTATGAGAGATAATATCTATGAATTTCTCAAATCACTTATATATAATAATTTCTAAACTTTACGATCTTTGTACGTCTAAGAACTGATCTGTTACCCGACACAAAGTTGATAGTCTTATTAAAAACCTGTCGCACTAAAACATATCAAACGAATTTCATGGCAAAGCAATCTAATAGAGTTCTGCTTGCTATTTTAGGTATTTCTTAAACTTTTTTAACCGTTCTAAATTTTATAAGGCTTTCGCGGCCATTTTGCAAACCTACTTATTTGGGTTTTAGATCTCTATTGCCGTTGTGATTGTCGAATGTTTCTCGACGCCATCTTGAGTGTCCATCGTCAGATGTTGAACAATCTTCAACTAAGGTAGACTGACAGGTCGATCCTTGTTCACAGCATTCTTTAATTACGATGGCCAAACAGTGGAAAGCCTAAGTGGCTTTGTTTTCAGTCTCTTTTATAAAAGATTTTTCTTCTAAACATTTTTGTAATTAATGTACTGTTTAACTAAATAAAACTAAGCATTTAAATAAAGCAGGCGTGAAAATATACTCGTCCTCCAAACGTCGAGTCATATCATTTCCGAAAACAAAAGACGACCGAAAGACTACAAGAATATCTTGAAATAGGACTATAAGTGCTAAATAAAATAGCTTTTATGAAGTGTAATCAACAATTTTGAAATATTACATTTCTTCCTTAACGCATCTAAAACGTAAACCCCCTGTATTGATTTCATATTTGTTCAACTCTAGTCATATTATATTATAATATTGTGAAATGAGTGAGTCTAATTTTATTGTAATTTTATTGCATCCACATATATAATTTATTGTCGTTTAGCGTTGTGTGGGTGTGGACAATAAATTGGTACCTGTATATGACCATAACGTACTTAAAAATACCCATACAATGATATAGTCAGTAGTGATGAGTTTAAGTTCTACGTTCACGTGATATAAATAATTTTTATCCCATTTGAAACTCACAATTGTGATATTTTAAGTAATGTATTGCTATTTACTATGTAGGTATTACTAAGTTGCTTATTAGTCGAATAGTCCTTAATATTATACGCACCTGTTTACTGAGACAGATACAGCTACTAAGATAATTTTAAATTATTTCTCTGTAGAATGTTTGTGTCTTTACAAGGCGATGTTGCATCGCGTCATGTAAAATTTAAAACCGACTCGGGCATGACTTGAACCGGTATCGTCAGCGTTCCGTGCTGTCGCTCCACCAAATGAGCTAGCTACCGAGTCCTGTAAAAATGTTAACAGTTTTATAACAACTAAGCTGTACCCGTTTGTATAAACTTTTCTTCAGCGCGTTGCTATTTCACCTAATATTATTCGTATTAAGAGGTTCTGTGTAGGAACGAATGTTTGATGTATTCTATCCATATAGGCCTTAATATAAGAATGTTGTTGTTTATAGGTTATATAAGCGTAAGGAAACACTTCTACTTAGAATTAAGTCTTTTATTTTATTAGCCAATATTTTATGTGGATGTTATAACTATAAACGGAACGTAGCCCTGAATATATTTATTAAACCAAAACCGCTTCAGAACTGAAATATTTTTACTCAGAAACAAAAATAAGTATTCAAGATCTTATTATATTTGTAACCGTTTCGGTATATTTTAGATACGGACATATTATTATTTACTATTCTGTTGATTTTAAGCTTTTATTATATATTTTATTGAATGTATATTTTTATAGAAACTTCAAGCCGTTTTATTCAACTTTTTAACCTGTCGTTAGATATAAGTTGTATAATCATGCTGTTAGTGTGTTTTATCATAATTGCATCTAAAGCCGGTTCTAGAATTAAACCCGTAGTCAATGCGAACACGAAGCTAGCGAAATAGATGATAATTCTCTACAAAATGTGTGTACAATGTGAAAAAATATATTCTATAAAAGTACAAGTATATATAAGGAATTCCTTCACTTACGTGAATAATTTACACTTTGATAATTATTTAAGAAATGGTCAATAATGCCCTGTTTATATCATTAATATTCATATATTTTTATAAACAGACCGGCGATAGTGATTCAATTGTCATTATTTTTGTTTTGTGATTCACTCTAATTGAACGATTATAATTATTTCCGGATATTATAAGGATTGTCTATAAGTTTACATCAGAAGTTCACATAAATATATTCCGTTAGAGGTTGTGAGACATTATTGTATTTGTTAAGTTGACAAAAAAAATAGATATTATTATCGTTATATTTTTCCTTCTATTTACAAATGTCTATCAATTACTTCATTACATTACAACTATTCAATAATACAATTAATTGTAAACACACTTCGCAATAAGTACTACTATGAACCACTCTGTCCAATTATATATTTTATCTTTGTTTTTGTACGCTCAAATTATAATTTACATTCTAGTCTATAAACGATATTTGTATTATTCACTTGTTGTACTTAATATTACTACTGTGTAGATCTATGTAGGTTAAATTGACTCTTGTTGTTATCTATGTTACTAGGATATGAAAAGTAATTGTGTTGTATAAAAAACCTTAAAAACGTATTACAAAATCATTATTTTACCTTTAAAAGTAATTTTTAATTGAGGTCGGAAGTTCGAGTCTGGATCGTGCACCATATTTTATTTGTTCCAAAGATACCGCACTTGCCATTCACCAAAAATGCATCGAGGCGTGCGTCTCAGCATTGGGAAACCAAGAAGGGCTAGGCAAAAGGAAATATTTCTTAGAACAAGGAAGTATTTAGCCCTAGAAGTAGCGTTTTTTCTGGTACAATAACATTAGTTTTTATGTAACACAATTACTTCTAGACATAAAAATGCATTTCGTAAGCGTATTTAACCAAAGTTGATGTGGAAAGGTGGTGCTTGGGGACGAAATTTTACTACTATGTCGGAAAGATACTTGGAAGTTGGAAATAAATGTGGTTTCATTACATAAGTGGTTTTAATAGGAATACGATCGGAACAAAAATAGAAAACCTTACAAAAAAAATGTTTTAATTACTTTTCATAGTGCCGGGCCAAAAATGGCGGTAAATTTTTATTCTTGTTGTAATAAAAATATAGCTCACAATTTATTTTTAATCGTAGTCATCAATTAAATATTTTAAGTCTATAACCCGCTTATTATAAAATACATAAATATTTATTTTCTGCTAAAATTGTAGAATTTGTTAGTTAAATAGTCAAAACAAAAGAATTGTGCCAAATTTGGACTCAGTCTGAATAAAACGGGTCTAAATAAAAAGACTGAAGTCAAATCAAAAAGAATAATCTTTTATTCTCAAGACACATACATGTAGCGTTTCGCATACAACTTAACAACTAAAACGAGAAAATCACATTTTCCAAATACATGAATCCTCGTGCAAGTAACATAGAGGCACATCAAAATTTCTATATGAAATATCATTCATAACACATCTACTCTAATTACTTTTACAATTAATCATAAGTTATTAACAAACCATAATACTTTTATCGCACGTGAGCTGAGTGTATAATTACCAGTTTCAGCGAAAAATATTGACGTTGGTTAAAGTTAACCGACCGTCAAATGTCCTTTTCAGTTCAAACTGAAAATAGACAACGGCCGGTAATCTTAACCAATAATATGATTGCTCAGTGAAATTGATTTAAAGCATTCGTAACAAGTTATACGTTAAAAAATTCAATATGTTTGCATATAGACGCAATAAATGCTTCTCGTAAGGGAAAAAATACTTTCAATTCTAATTGGTATAACTAATAGTAGAATATTTCAACAAATTTTACGTAATTTTTTTTGGATGTAACTTTTGACGTGTAACGACCGAGTTTCAAAAATTGAACGGAAAATATAACCGACAAAGGAAAACTAACTCACGCCGTACAAGTTAAGTACACTATCAGTATTAGTAACATCACTATGAGTAAAATTAATTATGGAAGTTTGGAGAAAAACAAATTGAAAATTATTCCTCATTCCGATAGGTACATAGGAATCCTATATTATTGTACAGAGGTTTGACAGTTGAGCGTTACTTATACAAAATGTGGCATTGGATTGGGAAAACTATCCAATTTCATCTAAATATTACAATCTTGGTTAACAGCAACCGGTTTTCATAAAGGAAATTTTATACAAAAGCTGACAATCGTCAGCTTAGCAGTTAACGCTTGTTAATTAACAGGTTAACTTCTTATCGATATCATTGCGTCTCAGTGAAATTGGACCTTACAGCAACAAACAACATCAAAGTAGGTAAACAGCAAAGTCCTAGGCCTGAACAATACATAATCTTACCTCAACATAGTATTTTTCGCGCTATGTCACAACTAAGCTATGGATGCTAGACAAGAACGCCATTGGATAGATTAGAAGATGAAAGCAAGTACTTGAAATTCTGCAAAGTTTTCTTACAATGTATTGTCTGTAGTTTATGCGAGTAGTACATTTTTAACGGTTTAAAACGCGATATTTGCAGCTGTATTCACGGGAGACCGTAGTTGAAATCATAAAAAAATCTAACTCATATATTTCGCGTTTAAAACCGTTAAAATAATTTTAATAAAAAATCTTGTTGTGGTGCAGAATTACAAGTATAGAATCAATATAAATACGCTCTTAAGCTTCGTTGAGTGCAGTAACATCCATACAAACATAGACAGTTACAAATCAGAAAATCAATGTACATCCTGTATTAAATGAAATTACAATTTGTGTGCGCTATATTAAATAATATCATAAAAATATCTGTCGTACTTATACACGCAAGTAGCACAGTATTTATCTCGAATCATGTTGTCCTTATCGCACGAATGTTTTTCACGATTGAAAAGACCAAGACAAAAATACATTTCAATCACTTAGTTATAAGTAGGACAGTAAACTTTCAAGTGGCTATGCAATAAAAATTGACGAGAATCATATTTTTTTTTGCCATTAGTGCCGATTGCAAGATAAAAAAAATATCCCGCTTCATACATTTGAATAAGATATTTATTTTGTTAAAATTTCTATTTGCAACGACCGATTTTTATAATAGTTTTTTGGAAAAAGTCCTAAAGCCCTAAGTTTTTATATACAGCTACAATAAAGTTTATAGAAAAATAAAAATATTAAAAGGTTTCAAAAACAGCTAAGGAATATATTAACTTATATAATTTGTATACATTATTATTTAACTGTCTTTAAGACGGTCTTATTGTTGGTAAGGATTCAACATACAAATGTCGCAGTTTGTGCAGGTCAACATTTTAATAGACAGTGTTTTAATATCCTTAACACTTATAACATCGTAGATTTAGTATATAAGAGAGTCACAAACACTGTTTTAGTATTTACTATTTCAATTATGAGTCATAATATACTAAGAAAATTAAATCATTGCTATTAAAAGTCGAAACAATTATACAAAGAATAGTTAGCTATTTAATTTCTTTACAGCGAACATTTCAAATGAATAACGACAATTATTTGAGCTATTCCAAGACGCCAACGCCGTGTTATATAGTGATAGTCACTTAGCTCAACAAAGATTTTATAAGTTAAATTAGTTGAACTTAAGATAATCAGATTTTGATGGTTTTTCAGACGTATCGCTAACTACAAGTGAATGTAACCAATTAAAAAAATAATTACGGTTTACGGACGTAAATCTCCTAATACTAACACATAAATATAATATCGAAAGGCCGTGAGCTTAACTGTCTCCCTCAGTTTGTTCGTCAATTGAGTTCTGATCTTTGTTCGGGTCAGGTGAAGTAGCGCTGTCCTCTTCTCGCGGTTTGACTTCAATATTTTCGTCCTTTTCTATGATCGGGCCGTGCTCATTGCGTAGACTGGCGCCTTCGCACTCGCCGGTCGGCCGTAGAACGAGATACATTAGTAGATCCGATAAAGATATAATGCCGGTCACTTTGTCTTCTTCATTCACGACGACCAGACGATGGACCTGGAATAATAAAAGAGGAATTAAATAGTATGTTCTTTCAATTTGAAATACAAAAATGCGAATTTTTCTCACTATTTCGACAAAATAAGCTTTCAAAGTTGAAAGTCAGTTGTGTTCCAGTCTACCTACTAAGCCTTGAAGAAAATAACCGACTCACATCATTACATTCATAAACAAAATTACTAAATAAGAAACAAGAAATTTACCTTAAACTAGACAGTTCAGATCCGTATAATTTAATAATTATTCTACTATTATTTATACTTATAATTAATAATATAAAATTCTTTTATTTATATATAGTATCTTCATTTTAACCGGTCTAATCCAAAACTGGTGTTCTTCTTAGTGTCACAGGCTTTTGCGCATTGTACTTTATCATTTCTTAAATGAAGTATGTTAGTTGTAGTTAAAAGTTAGTATAATTAAGTTGTTTTACATTGGACATGGCAATAAGAAAATTGAATCTAATGTAAATTTCGTTATTGTATAGTTAATTATAATAAGCGCCATCTATGAGTTCAATTAAGAACTGCATATGATTTTACGTGCTTAAGTAAAATTCAATTTATTCCAAATATTTATTTTAAATCAGATCCTCGGTCGGACAAAATTATTAAATCAAAAAGTACTTGTCCGATACTTGGAAGTATGTAATCACGGTTATAATCACGAATGACTATGCGATAATATGAACAGACTAGGGACATTGGTGTAAACGAATAGAAATCCTTACCTCAGCACGGACAATTCTCTCCATAACGTCGAATAGCGTCTCATCTAGGTTGCACTTTTGAACACCTTCGAACCACTCATTGCGGTGTTCGTTTGCTTTTTTCAAAGTCACGTCCAGGTTATTATATGTTTTCTCTGCAGCTAAATTCTGCAATAAGAGGAATCTAAATCACTTACAGGATCAAAAAGTAATAGTTCTTTGTTACGCCTCAATTAATAGATATCTGTTAGAGAGGCATGTAAGATCCTTTTGTCTGTAAACATTTTGATTGTTTGAATATTCGAAAATCTTAATTCACGATTAAACTTCAGGTCTTTGTTTTCGTTTGTGGACAGTGATTAGTGTCCCGGACCGAATTTAAATTTCCTACCACCCATTTAAAATCCAGGGTTTCGGACGAAGTCCAACTTGTTTTAGAAAAATTATAAAAGGCTTAGAAGCACGATGGACCCGGTGAGGATCCGAACTTACCATCGATTATTATAAGCGATGCATTGCTACCTTTACAGCAACGAACTTGTCAACGTAACGTAAAAATTTATGAAACAATCTGTTTTCGAAAGCCTTTTGTTAATACATAGAAGTTACTGAAAGCAAGGGCTGGTTTTTGTATAACGTACGGTTAGTTATAGTTATTCATAGCTATTTTTCTATATTTTATACGAGGATGTTGTTTGTGCTCCTTAATAACAAAGAAATAAGTTTCATATAGTACCAACGAGCTAGTCCAAGGTCATATCGAATATGGTCTTAAATACTGTCTATAGTTTACGCGAGTAGTACACATTTAAATAAAACTCTCTCGAAACAGTCTCCCCGTGACCACGGCTGCTGCAAAGCATGCGAAACGTCGGGCCCAAGTTAAAAATCATTTTCAGTATAACTAATATATCGTGTTTTAAACCGTTAAAGTGTTTTATTTAAACGATTACGATGTTTTTAATAATTTCTGTCTCAGTTACTTACGATGACATCGAATTTAGCATAGATGTCCTTGAGACGACCTTCAGCGTCTATAATGGGCAACGCCGACACTCGCCGATTAACAAACTTCCTCAGCGCTTCTATAATCGAGGTGTCCTCTGTTGCAGTCTCTATGTTATTGAGGGTTCCAATATTCAGGTCGCGGAGTTTCTTTTGCAGGTATTTTGGCTTCGGGAGCTCATTGATCTGAAACGTGAAGTGTTCATTTCATTAACATTGTGTATATTATGTTTGATTAAAATTTAATAGTACACTGTAACTCGTCAGTATCAGTGATGTCACATTGACAAAATCAAAATGATTTATTGTCTATACTAATATTTTAAAACTGGAATTTGTTTGTTTAAATGCGCTAATCTCTCAAACTAGTCGTTAGAATTGATTTGCGTTGGATATTGGAGATAGACCATTTATTCGAAACTTTTGATTTTTTACCCAAAACAAATTACCTATAAAATCTAATTTGCGATTTCATAAATATTTAAAGCATTTATTTGATATCACAAAAAACATTGCTATAAAAACTTGACTAATAATTGTGAAATTGAAAAGTATTTTGTGGTTGGTGAGGCCTTCACGCCTGTAATTCCGGCCCTGTCTATTAAATTCTATTTTTAAAATAACTTACATATAAAAAGAGAAATCTAAGTATTCTCTTATGGGTAAGTATGTATAGTACATTTCCAGTATCCGGGTCGATAACTGGCAACCGATGTATCCTGTTTCTGATGAGTATCTTTATGGCGTCATAGAGGGACGAATCCGGCCCGATGGAGACCAGGGGTACCACAGACCCTTTGAGGACATCTGGAAAACAAATCGGTATTATTAGACGGGTACCATTCACATTAAATCTACCCGTGCATTATACTCATTGTAATAAAACTATTAGGAAATTCTGAAAACTTTAATATCTTGCACATGGTATCACTATAAAAATTACAAATCTATTAAATTGTGTAAGGCTTTCACGGCCATCGTTCAGCATATCATTGTCTTTCGGGCTGTTCGGCCGATGTGAGCGAGAAGAGGTTCTCGACGTTTCGCCATCACGTGTGGACGGCATCATCAGGAGATGTTGACTCCTCGATTGCTCGAGAGAACCTCTTCTCGCTCACATCGGCCGAACAGCCCGAAAGACAATGATATACAAATCTATTATCATGAGCTGTCGCTCTAACAGCACGCTGTGCATGCCCGGTTTAAGCCCTGCCCGTGTCGTAATTTATTTTCATTTATAATCGATTTTTTTATTTATGAAGACATTTATTTAGGCATATCATTATAACTTTTATTTAGGAATAACATGTCACTGCAATAAGACTTTTCTTAAAAAGCTAATGCCAAATTAATGCAACCCTTCACGTACTCATATAAACTAAGTTGATTATATGAAAACTGTGATGATGAAAATATGTTAGACTAGCGGTAGCCTATATAATCGAAACTTTCTTACTATGTCTCCGTTCCGTTCAAGTTGTAAAAACATTAGTCAAGACACAAAGAATATGTATTTTTCTTTTGTTAAACGTTATTGTTTGTATTCTCTGTGACTTCTTTGTATGTAATATTTTAACCGCCTTCGTAAATATTTAAGTGTTTATAGCCTACCATTGTCTATAGTTAAAAACTCTCGATCTCGGGAGCAGGACGCAGAATTCTAATTTCCTTCTCTTAACTGGTGGTGTGAATGCCTAATGCACGCCCACGTCGGGCATTACTGACGTGGAGAGTGTGGTAAATCGTACTACAACTTCCTAGGAGACAATAGCCGACTAGAACCACAAAACACAATACCAGCCCGCTACGGTGCTTTCGAGGGGGCACTGGGAACACGTCGTATGACTCCAAAGCCCCCAGCACCAATGTTCATTTCAGACAAGGCGAAGGCGAGAAATTTAATTACTTACTTGTTTATCTATACTAATATATAAAGCTGAAGAGTTTGATTGTTTGTTTGAACGCGCTAATCTAAATATTTATATTGTAATGGTTAAAGAATTTATTGAGGGAGGCTAGAAAACAGCGGAAAATGTGGAAAAAATAATGAAAATTATTCATCTTTATAGTTCCGCATTTTCGCATCCGACGCGTACGATGCGAAAATGGTTCAAGATATCCAAAGGTTATGTATGAAAGAATTATTTTTTATAATAAACTAAAAAAATATCTGCGCTAATGTATGTCTATTTTAAAATATTAAACAGCAAGCACGAAGGGACGCGACCTACTTCGTGCGTAACAATCGAAATTTATAAAAATGAAGACGAGGTTCACAAAAACTAATTTCGATGCCAATTACGCGGACAAAGTGGCTGGAAGAGCTAGTAAATAAATAATCGATTATTTTAAATCTTTATACTTTGCATATTTCGAAAATAATACCACGTTAAGGTGACTGGCTAAGTCATTACATAACTATTAGATAAATATCAACGATAAGCATTTTAAACAACATATTTTCCTAACACAAACATTATGTAATAAGGTTCGTTTATATATCGCTGATTCAGTCACCCAATTCAAAGCGGAGGTCATCGCACGGAATCCAAACAGTAAAGTACACAGTATAGGGAAAATGTTTGTTGTTGCTTTGGCATAAACGCAATAACAATAATATTATGCAAGACCTAAGCACTTGAACTTCACAAGAGCATATCCAGGAGTGAAGAAACAATTGAAATGTCCTAATCCGCGACAACATGTCGCTTTATGTATATGTATTTTAAGATTAACTAGAAAGAGCCGTTTTTATGGTTAAATTTGGTTTAAATTAATGCATTATTTGTTACAGTAGTATCAACGTAATTGTATTAATCTAAAAAAAAATTGAAGCTAGTAGAGTAAGAGTTATGGTTAAATAAATAGCAAAATCTCAATCAGAACTTAAAATTGTATATATTCCGTACAACTCTTACAACTCCGTACAACTTGTCATTTTTGTAATAAATTCAGAATTAAATATTAAAACATTAAAGTAATGTGTGACAGGGATAACGCTATACAAACGAAGACTGTTCGTCTGTCTCTTAAGATCGCGCTATATTTATTAATGCGTTCAATATGTAGAAATATTGTTTTTGGCAATGGATTTTAAATATATTATTTTGAAAGGAGCACTTTATATTTGGTTTGGTTCTAGATTATGACCAATTTAGTAAATTAAAGAATAAATAACCCATCTGTTAACTTACAAGAGATAAGTACAATTTTAACTTTGTGTTAAAAGGCAACAAGACTCAGCTTGTGCTCGAAACGAACTTAAAAAACTATAAGAAGTCTATAGAACAGCGTGGCGCGCCTACGTCCTTAAGTCAACTCTTCTGTGAAACAGGAGACTTTTGTCCAGCAGTGGGATATTAGTTTTATTTGGTTTTGTTATTGTTATTTATTGGGTTAACAAAACTTACGTCGCCATGTCTCGAGCCGATGTTCTTCTAGCTCGTCCATAGTGACATCTGCACTGGTATAGTACATTTGAAGGATCTTTATGAAGTCGGTAATCGTGAGCATGCCCACGTACTGCTGCCTCTGCGAGTCCCATAACGGCGCAGCGCGGACTCCTAAAACAATAGACATACATACGTATTATATGTGAAAAAGAAAGCATTTATATTTAAAATAGAAAGTAAATTAACACTTAAAATTACTTATAAGTGCATCTTTTCAAGTAATTACTTTTTTTATGATAGAGGACAGATAAGCGTATAAACTTGATAGTACTTGAAATACCCCAGCTAGCCCAACCTAAGCATAGAGCTGCTTGTCAAACCATTTTTGGTTAAGGCTGTGTAGGAAGCCAAAGACTGATATAAAAACGCGTTTGAACTTGAAGGCTTTTTCATCTATAGACGATGGTTCAAGACCCGTGCTGGATTTCGATATTTTTACCATACTTCCGTTTCCGAACCGTTTTCGCAGCGCACGCCACGGAAACCCACTTAGATAATTATGTTCGGAGTTGTTTCAAATTAAAAATAGTCGTTTTTATATATTTTTCGGAAAAGTAATGAAAATTCTAATATAAGTTATTCATAGTTATTTTTCGATTTTATATACGGGTAAGTGGTTTGTGCTCCAAAATAACAAAGTAATAAGACACTAACGGTTTAAAACGCGATATATTAGTTAAACTTAATTGAAAATTATTTTTAACTTCGCCCCGACGGTTCGGATGCTTTCGCATTCGAAACGTCGGGCCGAAGTCGCGTTTTAAACCGTAAAAGTGTTTTATTTAAATGTGTACTACTCGCGTAAACTATAGACAGTATTTAAAGTAATAAGAATCAAGCACAGAAAATAGAAGTGGCCTTTTCTCCGAATACCTAAATTGGAACGGTAATTTAAAATTGATAATATGCAAAAATCCAACATTTCCTGTACTGCCGATAAGGTATTCTATTCAAAGAACAAAGGACATAGCCTATAGTTACAGTACTTAAGAATAGCATTGAATTACGCAGTAAAACTGAAGTGTTTACGTATTTGAGTAATAATATTGTTTTTAAATACTTAGTATGTATGCGACTATTACTGCCCGGCATATACTAACCATAGTAAGCTAATAAATATGATTGGATGGATATATTTTATATAGGGCGACATTATATAATAGAAAATGTGAAACGGCCTTTATGTCAGAATAAAAATTTTTATTAATTTATTAAACTTTTCATAAACAAGTTATAATACCACATAAAAAGGCGGTGAAAAAAAACCCCTCGGGTTTTTTTTAACGCCCTCGTCTCATATATATTCAAACAATTTTATAGTAAGTAATACATCTGTATAATAGTAAAGTATTTGATAATCTTATCAAATACTTAAAACATTTTCAAATATACAAGAAAAAGAAGCGTAATAATGGGAACGTATTTGAAGGGGGTAGAATGTTTTTATTTGTATTTTATATTTTTAGTAACACACTTTAATTTTAGGATTTGGTAATAAGCAAGTTCGTTTGGGTACCTCATAATGTGTTATAATACCATATACCTATATAATAATCGTATTATAATATGACGCAAGTATGTTATATCCCCTTTCCTGGCCGAGTATTACTTTTTATGCGATGAATCTGTTAGTTTTTAACATATTTTATATGGTCGTAATTTTAAAGAAAGAAGACTCTTATAGTGTAGTTTAGTCAATAGAAACTGCATGCATGTTTAAGAGACGCTAGGTAAAGATTTGCATAGTTCCATGGGTAAGGGCGCGATCATCATAATGAGGAAGGAGATATTAGGCGATTGAAATATGACACTGTGTTTTGATGGTCATAATTTATTACTGAGAGCTTTTCACTTAAGACGTATATATCGGTCAAGTTGGAGCCAGACTCTCGCAAGGAGGATTCTGTGCTATTTAGACACAAGAATTATATTGTAAGATTTTTTAGCTTTTCCAATTCCTGTTACCAGTCACGGAAATCGAATCAAGGATGACATTTATTGTATGCGAGCATTCTTAAATATTATTTTCTTGTAATATGATTATTTGCATAAAAATGCACGTGCAACGAGAAGGTTTTAAGCGCCTATCAACGATATCCTTGTCGATTCCATATCTGTATTTAATATAAAATTCGTAAATATTCCACCTCCCCCAGCTCCCAAACATAAACGTTGTTTAAATAACTAACAATTTCGTTAAATAAACGATTCGCAGTTCATGAGAACCTGCTAACAGTTCACTACTACTACTTGGTACGGGAACCCTAAAAACTAATGTAACGAGACCGTGCGGTTTCAGACTTCTTTGTATCTGTAGTTCACGAATCCAAATGCGTAACTCACAACGAGAAAATAAATACGATTAGCATCACTACGTAGTAAAAAATAAAGTCATTTTTCTGTGCCTATGTGCGCTAATTCTTTAAAACTACGCGACGGATTTTGAGGCGGTTTTTAATAGATAGAGTGATTCAAGAGGAAGGTTTCTATATACCACGTTCACAGTTCTGTAGTGTATTTAGTATCAGCATTGCACCCGAAGGCGGGGCCAGTCGCTAGTAAAGTACAAAACAAACAACACGAATTAAAAAAACAAGAAGGCATCATTTTGAATATTTCGGGACGCGTAAATTAAAGAGATACTAACACAACAATATAATGTGAACTCTTATCAGTCAATCACTCAAGATTTCATCTTAGATAGTGAAAAGATATTTAATTTTATACGTGAAGTTAAGAAAGAATTTAAATAATTGCTTCGTATATTTGGTGGGTTAATCAACTGCTCCCTGTAGATAACAAGGTCCCGGGTGCCTTCCCATGTATGCCGAAAATTTCGCTCGGTATCTATACTAATGTAAAAAGCTAAAGAGTTTCTTTGTTTGAACGCGCTATTCTCGGGAGCTACAGTTGGTCGAACCATTTATCGAGGAAGACTTTCGATTATAAAATATTAGACTGTGACTAACAGGAGCGAAGTGAGAGGAGGAAATGCCGAAAAACGTGGGAAATTATTCATTGCTGAGGGCTTTCGCTGCGTGCGTTGCGAAAACGGTTCAGAAAAAAAAATGTCTGCGGCAGTATATGTTTGTCTTTTAAGATTAACATACAAGAACGACGGCCATAATTTACAAAGATGAAGAGGATGTTTACAAAACCAAATTTTGACGCCCCAAAATAACTATTCTACGAAGACGAAGTCGCTGGCACAGCTAGTAATATATAAAGCTTAGGAGGGCTTACTCCTTAAAAATAAATAATGTGATGCCCATATTTATTCCATGTCGATAAAATGGCGGGCACGGCTAGGTTGCAATGTTTCTAGAACCGCCCCGGAGGTACGAAAAGGCGATTGTGGAGCACCTTGTTTAATCACGATAACCAAAACTAGAACCGTGCAAGTCTCGTAGATTTTTATGGAGAGAGAAAACAGTTGTGACGCTAATAAGGTGTAAGCAAAGGTAAGTCACAATGCAGCAAAATATCGAAGACATATTATAAATCAGGCACTGCGAGAGTATTATTAACATTGCAAAACCGCTCAGCCTCAAATAAAAATACATATCGCTTCGTCGCAATTTGAAACATCGCAATGCAATTACAGAGAAATTTGAATTAGCAAATTGCGCTCTCCCGTTACTGTAACAAAAGAACACACAGGAATAATAACATCGACATAGAAGGCTTGTTAACTTATATTACAATATGTCAGCATTAGCGTCAACGTGGGAACGGGTATTTTCAATTCCAATAAATTATGTAACATGATAAGTGAAGCGAATTCCTTTAAGTGTGACACTTGCCTCACACAGTAAATAATGAAAGCCTTAATATTTTTTAAACACTGTAACGGTTTAAAACGCGATATATATTAGTTAAACTTATTTAAAAAATATTTTGGCTACGGCCTGAGATTTTGGATGCTTTGCAGCGACTGAGTCACGGGACGTTTTAAACCGTTAAATTAAATGTGTACTACTCGCGTAAACTGCACAAGGCACTATATAAATTAAAATTCGATTATAAATTTACGACATTTTAAGGAAAATTACGACACGGGCAGGACTTGATCCAGTATCCACAGCGTTAACGTATTAGTATACCGGGAAATTCGGGTCGTAATTTTTTTCAATTTATAAACGATTCTTAACTTTCATAGTTTCAAGAAATATTAAACATAAAGCTTTAATAAGTGAAAATCAGTTCTATTTTCAAAATGGCGGACTCAGTGAATTCGAACAGCATTCGTAGTTTACTATGAATAGAGCTCAATTCGCTTATTGGGAACGCAAGCTTAAAATAAGTGTTTAAACAATTATACACATGAAATGGGTTTATACAATTTCAGGATCATTACACTCACCGTTGTAAACAAGCGCGAAGAAAGCTTTCTTTACAAGCAGCTGCGTGTCGAAGATGACCAGCTTCGCAGAAGTGGGTATGAGATCGTAGCACTTATGAAACTTGAAGAATTTCACGAAAATCTGCGACTCGTCCTCCTCTGAAACACAACGATTTTTCCAAACTCTATACACAATTTAACTACTCAAGTCTTAGGGTAAAAAATACATTTCAAAGTTACTAAATCAAAACTCCGCGTTTTAAACCGTTAAAAGTTTTTATTTAAATACTGACAATACTTAAATCAAAACTCTTTATTTGAATCAAATAAAGATAGATATATAGAAATAGATAGACATACATATATATGACACTATTATAGTCATTCACAATATTTACGCGAGAAATAACTTGTACACTAACATAATTTTATTTTATGTATTCATTTGTTTTTTTTTTTTGTTTTTTTTTGTTTGTTTGTTATGTTAGAGAAGGACAGATAAGTGTGGGGTTCACTTAATTGTAGGCGAAACGCCCCAGCCATATAACCTATTTTGGCTTTGGATATTCGGAAATCCACAAACTGATACCGAAACGCTGCTAAATTTTGAGACCTGTGACATTAATTAATATCCACATTTCGAGACGAAGTCCAACATGTTTCAGAAAAATATATATTGATTAAAAACAAGTTGGACCTGGTGGGGATCGAACCCACGACCCGTTCCCCTATTATTTGTCAAACACATACAGTGCTACAATTTAACTAACAAATCTGTCAAAATGAATGAAATAAAGTAGACAAATAATAATGAAGGAGAACTCTTTGTAGTTCAAACTATTCGATTGAACTAATCAATTCTTTTAATACTTATTTAGAATTTAAAAAAATGCTCAGTGTCCGCCGTAACCACAGGCTATATATTGGATTATATGGCCGTTATATGGAAATTAAAACTTTCTTCTGCATTCATAAATTGTGTAAGGCTTTCACGGCCATCGTTCAGCATATAATTGTCTTTTCGAGAAAAGGTTCTCGCTCACATCGGCCGAGCAGCCCGAAAGACAATGATATGCTTTCTTCTGCATTACTTGCATGTACAGAAAATTCGTTTTTTTTTTCTTATTTGCAATATTTATGCTCAGAGTATTATATATCAAGTCTTTTGTCCACTAGTAGCCTGTAATGAGTACGCCTCTTTCTGTATCCAATGGCCAAAACGGTATTGTTTAGTGGATTTCTCAGAAATCCGCATTGCACGTGTACATTATTTGTTTTTTAAACAACTCTCGTACAGTATATCAAATATAACGTATCCTAGTATTAAGAACCCAGTGTGTTCTTAATTTAGGCAAATGGTACAAAAATATCTTAATCACAAACAATGTTATAATGCAAACTTGAACAAATGATGCAAGTGTTTATACCTATATGCCGCAGGATGACGTAATAGCCACCATTTTCAAAATTACGTCCAAAATGTTACACGCGTCGCGACCGTTAGTTACATTATGAAAGATCAATATTAAATAGTTATCTTTTTTTAATTCAATACAATGAAATTAAAACCTTAAAAATTTAAATAAAAAAATACGATACAGAAAAAGTAATAAAGAAAACATTTCAAGAGACTACGTATTCATATATTACATGTATATAATATCTTTTGAGATACGGTATGAATGGACCTCAGTAAGTATATTTGAGAGTATCGTTTATGTTAACATATTTATATTTTATTCAAAATATATTCGGACAGGATCAATGAATAAGCGATCAATTACAGCGCAGGCGCCACCTGTACTTTTTCCGCATGTAAACTCTTCACGTGTGACTACCCGGTTTGTTTATTTATGTTTAGAGGCTGGCAACGCGCTAACCGTGTTGAGGCCATCCAGTGACGTCACCGGGAACCTCGGAATGACGTTGGTCGAATTATTAGATCATTGTGTGCATGTATGCAGGGCAGAACGCTTCGGAGCTAAAATTACGCGGAGCGTGTTCCTGTCTACGGGCCACACGGATCTCTCTACAACAACTTTATATGGTCCGTTAGTACTGATTCCGTGTGTTTTGGCATAATAAAGGGATGCGTTGACAAAATATGCAGTATAATATGTGTATAGCTGACGTAACGTTTGTTATTGCGACGCGACGCGGCCGAGACAAAAACAAGCGACCGCGACGGCTTCTTAAACGATGGGGGAGCAAGCGCAGCGTGGGTGACATAAACAAACCGGCACCTTTTTCGAGCCAATCGGCGAGGAACGCCTTCCACGCGCGGCCGACCGCCTCGAATTCCTTGATGAGTTCGATAGAGTATACTGTGTCTTCGCCGTCGTCTACCGCGAGGGCTGGATGGTCGGAGAAGTAGTGTAAGCGCAGCATGCGCGAAAACGCGGCCCGCTGCGCCTCCCACGGCTCACTGCTAATTATACAACGAACGGCGCCCGCGCAACCGCACTCCAACTGACACCGCGCAGTCTTTGGCGCTGTGCCCCAGCGCAACGCACGCCCAACCTGCTTTGCCGGGGAGACGCGACTACAACACGAAGCCGACGCTAAATATAATCTGTACTAGATCCAAATTTAACAAGAATTCACTGTCAACCGCGCAAATTCTACACAAAACTTAATATAGTATGCATTTTAATCGGAGCTGTATTTGAAATAGTAAATAAATGTAGGTATAAAAAATCGCTTAATGTATAATTGTGGATTGTTTGCGAAATTCTTGTTGGTGGTTTAATACGACTTGTTTTTGAGTTTTGTGGGTGATCAAATTTTGCTGTCATCAATCATTACAATAAGAAATACATTACGATAACACAAATACTTAATTAATAAACGTATTTAAATATTTTATTCAGAACCCAATCATAATAAATAGTTTGTTATTTAGCACTTTACTCAAAGTATATCGCACCTTTTAAAACAATAAACGCGTTCTTTCTTCCGTTTCCTCCGTTCATTAAAAACTTCATTACTCTTTGAATACGTCTGCGTTTGAAATAAGAAAACTAAACAATGCGGCTTATCAGTGATTCAGAATCGTAAATATTATACAATCATATTTGTAATAAAACCAATTGATAAACGGTACCTTGATCAAATTCTATTATATCGCTTGTATCTATTGCCGATTGAGGACTAAAATACTATACTTTGTCTAAGATAAGTTTGACAATAGGGATGTGGCAATTATCGTATGGCAATCTATTCGATTATGATATTGTTACATATAATTAAAATCGATAGTACCTCAATATTTCAATATGCATTATAGAGATAATTAAATATATGAAGAATGTGTTCTAATATTTTATTTGTCAGATATATTTGGATTTATAATTGCTTTTATATTGCACTACGTACATCTGTTAATGATTTAATTGGTAGGCAATGTTATGTATATGAAGCTGAAGGAGGCAGAGTGGCCTAATAACAAAAAAAAATCAATAAGGAGGTAAATAAAACTGCACGATTAACTTAGGCAAAAATAAATTTGTACTATTATATGTGTAAGAATTATGTTAACAACTTTAGACTATAATATATATATATATATATGAAGTCATAATATTGCAGTTAGGCTAGTCTGCCTCTAGCGGCCTCATATTATTTGTAGTGCAATGTACGGAAAATGCAAAGTTTCATTGGAGTAAGCTGACAAACCTAGCATCCTATATAGGACGAGGTATAAGTACAGAAAAGTGGGCCGCGTGCATTTTAAAAATTGTACAAACATCGTACCGCGTGTCATTTTCGTGAATAAGCTTCCTTTTTTTATCATTATAACAGGGAAAACATTTCACTGCAAATGTGAAGTTCGTGTAATATTTAAGCGTCCTAAATACTAAGATTTTTCCGACTTCTGACATAAATCTTAGCTTTTATACTTTGTAAGAGGATAAAAGGTTACATTCGCTCACTTACCTAGATCGGAGAGATTAACTTTTTGCAGGAAGGGATCCACGACGGGCAACTGAAAATAAATAAATCTTTTATTGAGGCGTTTTAATAGGATTATCTATTATCGTACCTATAGTTATTGAATTTCTTTGTAATTCGTAGGAATATAAGTACTTTACTTTTCTTGAAAAAGATTCCTTAAAAATTAACACCAATAAGTACCTACATTCATAACATAAATAAGTTACCTATATAATATTGCTTAGATTTTTTAAATGCATTAACTCATTATCCTAATCGTAATAATAGACTAACTAATAAACCTAAATCTTCAATACTATTAGTTTTAGTTTAGTTTAGTATAAAATTATTAATTTAGTAAAAATACTACTCAATTCTCACTTGTTGCTAAAATTTGTGAGCATACATAACATACTAGCAATTTTATAACTTCCTTACATTTTATATCACTAAGACTTAAAAAAACCTACGAGGGACATTTGGGCCGCGGCTATTATAACTTAGAAGTGCCTCTTCATAATAGAAGACAATAAAAGCCATAAGGTTTCAAGTTGGCTTTCAATTTTAATTTTAGAGCAGAGATGCGCCTTGTAAGACCTCGTGCAATTTATTTCTACATTCGTAATACGTATATAGACTACTAGTTGAGTTTCGAAAAGAGAATTCATTATTCGAAGTTCGAATTCAAACATTTCAAAAGATGCAAAATAATCTTATGCCAATATAAAAGAGCACTTATTTCGTATAGTCTGCGCAGTGACCAAAATCTCTTATACATAGAACATAGGGATCAAGGTCAGGTTGTAAGAGAACCGCGCAAAGCAAAAGTTATACAAGACAAATAAAAACAACAACAATGTGGCGAAAATTTTGTTTATGCACGACACAATGTCACAATATAATTTTGACATAATAATCGAGTTTTACTAGTTTCATAGTACCCTTTCATTTGATACCCATATTGAGGGGGTTCAGGAAAAATATGTATTCCGCCATTTTGTATCGGCAGCCATCTTGGATTTATAATGTTATTGATTTTATTATATTATATTGTCATCTAAATTAAATGTGTGTACCAAATTTCAGATCAATCTGACAACGGGAAGGTGCTTTTATTTATATTTCGAATTTTGACCCAAATAAATAAATTCCGTACGGGTCGAGCTAAATGAACTGTTGCTCCAATTTACGCAAATCTAGTAAGGGATGTAAGGTTAGATAAAGGTCACTTACCCCTCTGGCATTGCGGAACAATATAGCAGCGTGATGTGGGTCCAAGGACGCGTCGGACGCCCGGTGTCGCGCGGGATGCACGTTCCCGAGGGACGAACGCCGTTTCTCAGCTTCCTGGGACGTTGTGCGGCGTAGATGGGCACCTGCGTAAAAGAAGATCACGTTAAAAAGGTCAAACACATGCCACTATAGGAAATACATAATTAAAATTAAGAAAACATAAAAATTGTCACCAAAGTCAAAGAGGTTATTGTGAAATATTGTTATTTAGCGGAATGTACTAGAAAGGCTTCCGCTTTAAAAAAAAAAACATTTATTTTTCTTATAATGTATAACTAAAATTGCTTCGCTTGCCAAGCTGCTTGATGGGATATTTTTAATCGCCACGCTTTGATTTCATTTCGCCCAATTTTACTAACTCTAGGAAAAGCTGTAATATTTTAATTCATATATCAATGATGATTGATTTTAGTATATTAAATTTATGGCAAAATATTATAACAGGAGCAAAGTGTGCCAAAAATGAGTCCAAATTATTCAATGATTCCTCTTTAAAAGACCCTTTTTAAGACTAACTTGCAAAATCCATGAGACGCGGACGACATCAGTGGAAAAGCTAAAATTTATAAAGATGATGGTTTGCAAGAATAAATAATATAATGGCCAAAATTACTAATCCACGCAGACGAAGTTACGAGCTCAGTTAGTTTATAATAAAGTTTACTTGGCTTGCAACGATTTCATTTCACCCAATTCTACTAACGTTAGAAAATTATCATAATTTAATTGAAACAAAATAAAATATACTTTGTTCTCTTTAAAATTTCAAAAATTATTCAGATTCGTCAAAAGATGTTTGTCTGTCGTGATTCTACAGAGTGTACAGAGAAACATGAACAGTAATCGTTTTTTAATACCTATAAAAGCTTTAAACATATACTAGTCGAGTGTTTCACAATTTAAACAGAACACATAGTGTAATCTATTACTACAGATAAATTATATACAGAAGTATATTGAAATATTCAATTTAATCTTTGGTGTCATACATTTTTAATGTATTTAATATCAACAGACGTAATACCGTACGTAAAATACTGTTAATACGCGGTACCTTTTCATTGACATAGAAGATGAACCGTGCGTTATTCGGGTTAATTTAATTTAAAGATCGTATTAACCTCACGCTCTGCGACCAGCTTAGACGTTAACTCGGGAATATTTAAGTAAAATAGAATTATTTCGCACAGAAATAAACAAAACATTTCTCTTTCATTGATCTATTTGAGCTAATAGTCGTTCTGACTTCTATCATGAGCGACCAAAATTATAAAATTTCTTTTAAATACGGACCCTAGACATTTTGCCATTCTAGACAAAATCCAGAAGCTTTATATTTGACGTTTATTATCAAAACAATTCTTTAAATAACTTTGAGAATCTATTTATACTGTATAACTGCAATATTGTAGAAGCGGCCCATAATAAGGAAACAAGGTAGACTCGAAGAGCTATATTTCCTCCGGTTCCCATGTTTTGCGGCGTAATATTTGATCGTACAACAACGGGCGCAATCCGCTTACTTAGGAAACTGTTTTAGATACACTTACAGCACACGTTATTGCAATAAAGATTGAAAGATCTCTGAAGCGGGATCGAAATTCTTAAAAAAAATATATATATATATATGAGGCCCCTAGAGGCAGACTAGCCTAACTGCAATTATAAGACTTGACTTATTTATATTTTTATAGTCTTAAAATGTTAAACTACAAGAGTGCACGACCGAAAATTGATAACATAATTCTTACACAAATAATAGTACAAATTCATTTTCGCCTAAGTTAATTATTGAATATCATGTCTTTTGTTATTAGGCCGCTCTGCCTCTAGTAGCCCTATACATGATATTATACAGTTCTTATAAGCTGTATATTCGAAGTAGAAAGAGCTACATATAACGCATTAAAGTACCTTGTATTAACTTACTAAATATTAAAGAAGTCCGTACACTTCTTAACGATTAAAATACATTAATTGCCAATTAAGTCTCTCATAAGGTCACATCATATTGAGAATGTACGGTCGGAGAATCGAATCCAGATCCATATTAAGATTAAATACTAGCCTAATAAAAGCTCAAAGCGACGTAACATCTTAATTAAAATAAACCAATAAAAATAATAATACTCTGTACATTAAGAAAACTTTTTAAAATTTCAATTGAATGCATCATTCAGGCTTGTAGCTTTATTTAATAAAAATCGGATTCTAGAAAAAACGTATGTAACGTTTTTTTTTAAGTTTTATATCCGCCGCGGGTAATACAACTAATGTGGTGCATATACAAGTGTTTGAATTCATTTGATTAGAAGAAAAGTCTATCAAACCGAATAAGACTAAAACTGGGTTTTAATCACGCAGACGAAGTCGTGAGGATACCTAGTTTTATAAGTGAAAAAAATAAACCTTTTATAAATACATACATAGAAGGCCAAGAAAGGAGATCGCTGAAAATGACAAGGACATATTGCTACCCGGAGGCTAAGATCCAATTTGGGTCGCTACACCAGCGAAGTAACAGAAGCCAGATAGAAAAAAACAAACGCCATAATTCCAGAAAATAATCAGAGGTAATTAATGTTTTTTATATAATTTCTCAAATAACGCACACCTAACTGTCGTTTATTATGTAGGTCATTTGTTGACCTTCTGCATTGGCTTTGAATCTTTTGAATATAATATTGCTTAAAGTACCCAATGACTAATAAGCAATCTCAAAGGTTAACGAATTTAAATTCAAACATGTATACAATTACGTTTTGTTTGTATTTATACGTTTCAACCCATTAATATCTACTGGGCACAGTGCCCTCTATGATAGGGAAAAGAGTAACATAATTTCGACCCACCACTCCACTCCACTAAGGGTTCATAGGCTTTACGACAACCACGCCTAAATCAGAGACATAACTGACGGCTAAAATGCTTCCCCAGTCGCGACCCTATTTATAGGTTATTGTTGAAAACAAAGCAAAATATAGATATGAAATATTAAAGAGAAATCAACTGTTGGTTGCTCATTGTTGAAATGCATGCGAAATTTTGATTATTTGCGAGATATTAATTAAACTACTTAGTATTGTTAATACCTGATCATGTATACATGTGTATGCTTTTCTATTGTTTCAATAAAACGGGGACGACGAAGTTTTACCAATACAATTATACAAAGTATATAAATTTTTACAATTACAATATATCACATGAAATATTATTACTTTTGGTCATCATATATGTTTATAGCGCTAGACAATGAAAGCCTGCCTGAGAAAAACTATACATATCTATCAACAGAAACTGTCATTTGCTAAGATGACCTCTATAGGTTAGCAAATGGCTTTTAAAAACATACGTCTTTTTGGGGTTTCCTAACCAAACACTAATCTAATACATTTGTGTCATGAACTGTGATAGACATTTGAAAATTTGCCACAATTATAACGAAATTGAAAAAATAATAATAACAAAAGAGACGTTTTGTCGGGTTAGTTGGTTTAAGGGTAGCAACGTATTAAGAAGTCGTCTCGAAATCTGGATATTAAAGTAGGGAATAGGTTGAAATATTGAAACACCCTCCGGGTCCAAATGACAAGGCCGCGAAGTTTAGTCGCCTGCCATTCTGACTCTCCAAAGCCACAAGTAGGTCGGTCTGACCCCTGTGTTATAGAAAACAAATTAGGAGGGTCCTCTACAACAAAGTTGTCATCTTTAAAATGCTCCAGAACCGTTCGTGCGCAAGTTAGAATTTTGCACTTGTCCGTTTCTCTATGTCTAATCAAAAAGCGAAGCAAGGCCGCTCCTCTCAGCTCGTTCAAGCTGAAGAGTCATTTACGCCCTGCTACGAATTCGATAGTGTTGCAGCGCGGCATAGACACGGGGGCGTTCGAGGTGGATTACCTCCCAACCCTTTGATTCTCGTCCCACTTTCAGAGCCGATATTCACACACGGGCTAGCGATCGCCAATGAAATTTACAGCATAATCGCGTTACGTGCATAACCGTGAAAAAGTAAAAATATTTCGGTTGCATTTTATTGACCTTTACACGTTTATCTTAGAGAAATTGGAAAAATATTTTACGGAGAGGTAAAAAAGCAACAAGCGTAAGGTAGGTGACCTGATTGCAATTCATTGGTTTAATTATGAAAACTCATATTCTATCGGAAACTAAGTACTTAAGTTTATGCGAGCAGTAGACATAAAAAAACTTTTCCAGGACGGATTTAAAATAAATTGTAAATAAGTTTAACTAATACATTTCATGTTTTAAACAATTAAAATTGTGAAAATTAAATATATCGAAGAAACATATCAACGAATAGAATTTCATCTAAAAAGCATTTTAGAAGAGAGGCGTAACGTTCAAAATAAAGATTACGTCAAAAAATACCTCTGTCGTTTATTTCCTACAATCCGAGTTTTAAAGACAAAGTAACATGAATAAAATATTATACGTTAACGTTACTTCTTAATGTTACAAACGGTAACCGACGGATTAACAACCCATAGAAAAACATTAATATCGAGTTAATAAAAAAATACGCAACAAATTAAAACTGTTATAAGAAAAAATCTCAATCAATTACGCGTATTTTTATAAGCTTCTTTAAAAGGCTTTAGAGGCTTTGGGCCCAAGTGGAGCTTACAGTTTCCAGGATATACAAATCGATATCAAAAGCTCCAATACGGATAATAGAGATTAATATTTCAAGGAGACCAGTGTCTACAGAACAAACCATTTTACTATAGCATAAGGCTTTTGCAACCATTTTACAAAGCTACTTGGGTTTCAAGCTCTTTGTCTAATTGTTAGAATGATTTCTCAATTACGACAGCCGAACAGCTCTTAGTAGCTTAGCGTTTCTAGATCGGAAATCTTATAAGACATTCTTTGATTCTAAAAATCTTATTAAAAAGTACTAAAGAAATTATCGATTCACACATTAGTGTGGCCTTTTGTGGGTATGTTAGTTTAACTGGTAGATTTTTTATAGACAAGTAAGTGTTTTGGTTTAAAAACGAACTCTGATATTCCTGCGTCCGACGGAATTAATTTATTATGTTTGCTAGGGATTCGAACCTAGGACCTCTCTTAACGCATTGCTGTCTGATATCAAGTAATGAAAGGTAATAATACACACCGGAGTGAACTTATCTAGTTGGTAACAGTAAGGTCGGAATGATATTTATAACTTTGTTGAGATAATGCGTTCTTAATAACAAAATAATTATTTATTAAAATATAAGTAGACATCTACAAGGCGAGATTTCGATTGAGTTCAAATCCTGAAGTTTTACTTTAATGATATGAATGTATTTTAATAATATAACGCCGAGGAGTTTGTTTGTTTGAGCGCGCTAATCTCAGAAACTATTAGCTTTAACTTGAAAAAATATTTTTGTGCTGGTCGTTTGTGTGAAGGAAATGTGAAGAAATCAAAACAAAATATTCATCTTTCTGGGCTTCCGTTGCGTACGCTGCGAAAACGGTTTAAGTTCGCATACCTACTCTATATCTTTTAAGAATATCTCACAGAGTTTTTTATGGGAATCAAAATTGTCAAAGTACAAAAAAAAAAAGTTTGTCATGTCAGCTAGTAGATAATATGTGGTCAAATTATTGATATAATATAACCGTGACTAAGATGAACAGGGGAATATCGTGCTAAGGTAGCGTATGGTAGCGCCGTAATCGAACCCTACACATCTTATCTCAAAGAAATCTTTAGAGCAAACCTCTCAATACTAGAACACTCGGCCATAATTCATACGATCGTAACTATTATAGTTGTTTGTTTACGCGTCTAACAAGAAGAACGATTTGTCTACCACGAATAATTGGTTTATTAAAATGTAACTACGTATTACCTTTAATACTGCATCTTTGGTTTAGTGGTTATTGCACTCTACTACGAATCACGAGGTTCGAATCACGAATTTAAATTTGGAATTGTTTGCCCAGCAGGCTGTTGGATCCGCACTAAGCATTGAATAGTCTCTTAATTTATTGAGAATTATGCTAACAGGTAACCACAACATAACCTGCCTTGACGCAGGAAATTAGACAAAGAAGGCCATTTACATTTTATATTCAACAGCTAGGTCAGCTACTTCCATATAGATGAAAGATGACGCTTATAAAATGAACACGTCACTGTTAAATATTATTTTAACCGTAAGCGACCTCATACATAATTCGCGATTGCTAATTATAATGTCAAAAGCACTAATTATCATAACCATCATATAAAATTCTCGTGTACAATGTTAGCTATCTTAATTCTGCGAAACTTTACTGACTCTCTTAACATCATTCTATCACCAGCACTCATATAACATATGCCTACTACACGAGAAAATAATTTCAGAAATAATTTTTAAGGTGAAAAATCGCTTCCGGTTCAGCGAATATATGACAATTTAGACATTTATATGACAGTAATTTAGTACCTTCCTTTAAGATGGCATCAAAGATCGCGTAGGTGGCGCCGCAATCGTCTAAAATGGAGTTGGTGTGACATGAGTATATGTTCTCGACATCCAGTGATTTGGACCGAGATCTCGCTGGCTGGACGGGGGGTTCCGTGACGGTGATGGGAACAGCACAGGAACCCCGTCGACCTTCACCCGAATCATGGCGCCAGTGACCGATCTTTTTGGAAAACGTGCGGATTAAATCTTGAATGGAACTTTTGTAGCTATGTCCGCTACCGGTGGAACTTGACCCGCGTCTCTCCGAAGCCTCCCTACTGTGCCCACGGCTAAAACTGTCAGTCAGTTTCTTGGCGATGTTTTTAGGATCGAATCTACTTCGGGAACTCAATCTCGGATTGCTTATTTCACCGTAGCGTTCGCACTTTTCAAACTCGCTCTCTTGGGCCTCGTCCACGGCATCATCGAAAAGTGGGGAAACGAAATGGTGCTGATGACGATACGACGGTGATATGCGATAATGATCTTCACTATACGTCGGGTTCTGGAGGCTGGTTGAATATCTCTCTTCCTCGTGCCTCCGCCTGTGCTCAGCATAAGGAAAGTGGTAGTTGGGTGAGATGCTACTGCGTCTATGGTAATCGTCATCGCGGTAACCAGGTGAGATACTGTGGTGTCTGCTGTCCCTGTATGAGTTTTCGTATGATCTACCCGTTACGTACCGATCGGTACGGCTTCGGTGTGCGCAAGAGCTGCGTCGTTCAATTGGGATCGCACTGCTTCTTCCAGGCGGCGTCTCTATATTGTTTACACCGGTATGCCAAATGTCACCATTATCTTCTTCTAGCGTCGGCGTTGTCTGGCGGGAACGTTGCTTGTGAAAGAAATGTGTGAATCCGTGCATCGTTACGCCGTTACCACTCACATTTTATAACGTATTGTCTGTTAGTAAAATATCATTTGAGCACAGCGAATTTTGTTGAATCTAGCATTACCGGCTGTAGTCGAAATATTTATCGCCCATTACATTAGTGCCTTCATATTCCTCTTTAGAATGTGAATTGTTTTGAGGATTTCTTTATTTATAGCCGATCGTACACAGAATGTAAAAATATATATTACTTCACTCTTATCAAATAAATCTTACGGTAGCTGCGAAATTGATACGCGAGGAAAGAAATATATTATCCTATCGAAATGATTAATGTTAAGATATGATAAACGGTTAGAATGTTTTATGCTGTCGAAGGTCAATCACGAAAGGACATAAAAAGTTATCATTAACGGCTTAGCATAATGATATAGGCATCGTAGAAAATAAATCGCGATATTCAATACTAATGGTAGTATTTGGAGAAGTTAGTGCTTTGCACTTCCGTAAACAAACGGCTTCTGTTAAATATTGAATAGGTGATTGAATTTTTAGCATTCGCCAAGTTGACAACATAATTCAATCACTCATTGGAATATATATTTTTTATCAATTGTATATTATGTATTTTTTTATTCACACGAACATGGAATCTTTAAATAAAATCTTAGTAGAATATTTTACCTTACCAAAGGTAAAACGATTTTCCATACAAAGCCATCGATACAACCCAAGAGCTTTACCTAAGAGTCTTACGTCTGATTTCTTTATGATATAACCTTACATCTCGGAACTTGATCATTCAAAATATCCTTCGCGCTATCAATAGAACGGGATTTATTATTTAGCACTTCATTCAACGGACATATCACGGGTTTAAATTATTGAAAAACAACCTACGAAATACTCAAATAGTACACAGAAATAATATTTTTATTTATTTAATTGAATAAACTTTATTATTATTATATATATGAAATATCGATAATTAGTATATTTATCTTAGATATATGAATACTGCAAACAATAATTTACAATACAAACACTACAGTAGCTTACTCTATATAAGGACGTAAAAGACAGGGTTATAATAATATTTGCCGAAGATTATTGTCTAGTGTTATTACTGAAGTCATGAAATGCATAAATATGTTTTTAGTATTTAATATTTATTGCAAACCATACGCAAAGGTCTGCAAGGTGTTTGGCGTTTTTGTAATTACGTGGAGTACCTACAAGCAGAATTAAATTATGAAAAATATCGTACCTCGGTCTCCATATTTTAAAATTAGAATAGTTGCAATTAATTGATGATACCCAGATATTATGTATGCAATCTATGACGCAGCTGTTTAATTCATTTCAAATATTTGGCACTTATAAAATAGGTAATAAATATTTTAACAATAGCCGGCTCGCGATTTATGTTCGAATCGAAAATATTTTTTGTCTACACCGGCATTGCGCCAAGATGCATGTGCTGAAAACAACACAGTGCTACAACTGTAATCAAACCACCGCCCATTATCGTGGCTCGATAGTGGTAGGTAGCTCATTAGATTGTTTGAGTGTTTACACTTTTTGCACTATTTCATAATTGTCACCGTGTATAACGCTACTTCGTATCGGGCGCAACACGTCATACACTCGCGGCTATCGTGGGAACACTAAGTTAGCAATATAAATAAGCAAGAGGGAACGAGAAGGCAGAACTTTATAATATTACGCGAATCATCGGCCGCGTGTGCTGTACACCCGAAGATTAGCATTAAATTGTTGGTCTGTCGGTCGGTATGTCACAGACCACAGAATCGCTATGAGAGGTTACCGAGTCGCACATGATCTAATAGTAACTACCTTATCTACATAATTGAATACATTATCGCTTGGCGCTTCGTATAAACTGTTAACTTGGGTTTTATAAGAGCGACTGTATTAGTTTTTGATTATACATTTCCGTATATTTTTATTTATTTATCGGAGGGTAATTTTGTGATTTAACTACAGAAATAGGGTAATAGCGAGTTGTGACTGCCGCTTGGAGTTCTTTTAGTGCGTTTTACAATCTACCTCCCTGGTAGAGTATGGCTCATCTGCGCGACGCGAGAGCGGCCCGGGTCCCAGTTTCCGAGGACAAAAGCGGTTTTAAACCTCATTGAACTCATTTAAAATTTAACAAAGGATTCAAAAATTCGGTATTGTTATTAGAACTTGTTTTAGAGGATTGAACTTACATAATAATATAAAGGAATACAGAGTAAACAAAGGACCTTGACATCTAGAATTTGCTTTTATCTATACTAATATTATAAAACTGGAGAGTTTGTTTATTTGTTTGTTGTGCTAATCTCGGGAATTACGCACCTACGGTTCGAATTGAAAAATTATATTTGTGTTAATATATAAACCATTTACCTTTACGCTGCGTTTAATATTAGGGAAGAAATAAAGTGAAATGTGGTAAAAAACGTTTTTCATCTCTGAGGGCTTCCGTTGCTTGCGCAGCGAAAACAGTCAAAGAAACAAAAACAAATGTATGATTTAACAATTAGAAACGATTTAAAAAATGTCCGCGACAGAATATGTCTATATTTTAAGATTAGCTCTGAAGAACGACGGGACACATTTTGTAAAAATAAATATGATGCCAAAATAATTATTTCACGCGAAGTCGCGGGCACAGATAGTAAGTGATATAAAAATATATAATATATAGGATAATAATGTTATAGGATGGTATACATTAAAATATAAAGATGATATAAAATAAATACCAGAAAAATAAGACGTGAAAGTTAAATAAAATAGCAAAAACATTGAAACCCGGCTTGCGTCTACCTTCTACGTAACAAGGCTAACTTCAACAGGGGGTAATGCAATTAAAACTTTTTAGATAGTTACATCAATTCCATTGCTTAGTGCACGGATTAACTGAACTAAGCAATTCTATCAACTCATATCGACGGGTTCGTTGGTGTGTGGATAATAATCAACGGGTCGTTGGTTTGATCCCTACCGGGTGCAACAATTTCAAAGAAATTAATAACTTTTCTGAAACATGTTGGCCTTCGTCATGGTAGGAATATCGAAATTCCGTCCGGGTCACGAACCACCGTCTCCAGGTGAAAAAGCTGTGTTTCGGTTTTAATCTGTGTATTTCCGAATATCCAATGCCAAAGATTAATTAGATGTTATCTGTGTATCTGTATAAAAAAAATTAAATCATCCATGTTTGTGTTATACAAGAACAAAAACTCACCTCCATGATGATGCGACTGATTTCCCGCCCTCTGCAAAGAAAAGAAAAAGAAAATAAATGAAGAGAAAATAACAAGAAGAAGAAGATGTAAAAATGTAATAAAATAAAATAATAGGACCCCATTTTTTCGCGCGTAGTAGCTGTCAATGCCAGCGTACATTAGTGTTCAATTATGTGATTTACTGTAGAGAATAGAATTAAATTTAACGTAAGCCCATCTCTGTTTGGTGAGCTCGCTTTTGACATTCGCTAACAAACATTTTCAAACAGCGATGTGCTCGTAACATACAGACTCGTGGATAGATAGATTTGTATTTATTGCACTTTAATTTGTTTTCTTTTAATTAAAATGGTTCATCACAAAATTGTAAATGTATTTATTATTACTAAAATTTAGGTGCAGCTGCTGCAAGCATCCAAAACGTTGGGCCGTAGTTAAAACAATTTTCAAAGAAATTTAACAAATATATTTCGCGTTTTAAACCGGTAAAGTGTTTTATTTAAATGTGTACTACTCGCGTAAACAACAGACAGTGTTTAACCACTTTTCTGTAAGTAAAATCGTTCAGTGCAAGCACACCGCCCCAGAGGAGAATGGGACTTCAACTTAACGTTTTAAATCCTAGTGTATGAAAATCTCATTGGAGGCAGTGACTACATGATAAAACATATAAAACCTGTTGAATTGTTTTTGAAAAGCAACCTAGGCACACACAACGCGTCACTCAAATAAGTGCTTTACATAATCTGAATGATAACCGGCTTTTATCGGCAATAGAACATTGTGTCAATTGTGTCAAATTTTTAACTATCTGTCAATTGATATTATGTACTAAATCCGGTTATAGAATGTGATCTTATAAAGACAAAGAGTAATGTACTTATTAAACCATCTTTACTTATGTACAAGGTATGATGCAAGTAAATTACGTATTCTGGATAGACACACTTCTGTGTCTGTTTGAATTATCGATTCAATTTAGAATTGATAAGTTTTTTTTGTTATTAAAACAAGCACATAATAACTAAGAGATCTACTAACAACAGTTGTTAAAAATAATGACATATTAACAAAAATACATGCACATATAACAAACGGAATGAATAATAGTTATTCTAACAATCCGTTTCATAATGCATATTTAATTTCTTTCATTTACTTCGGTGCTAGGAGTCAAACCTGGGACAACGTGCGCGTCGCGCTACCGACGGAGGCGGTGTGTAAGCAACATACACGTGTTGTAGTTTATTCAAACACAAAAACTACTAGTGTTGCCATGGTAACACCAGTTTAGGTTACCTAGCTAGGTAAAGCACCTACGTAACCGCCTGATGTTCTAAATATATACGCCTGAAGATTTTTTAGAGCAAAAAGTAACGATCGGGTCATGACATATGTCACTTTGCCTTCGCTCGTTATAAGTTATTTTAACTATAAGCTTGCTCGCGTTCAACGTGATGTATATTCAGAAGCTTTTGCCATATTAAATGGGGGACCTCCTTATGTGCAGTCGAGACCACTAAGCCAACGAGGCAAGGCTGCATTATAGGCACATATAACACCAACATATTTTAGATATAAATTAATAAAAAATGTATTTTTGAGTAAAATAATTATTTATTTAATTGGTTTAGAATACATCTTTACATTATAGAGCTTAAGAGTTTGTTTGTTTAAACGAGCAAATCTCAGGAACTACTGGTCCGAATTGAAATTCCTTTGTTATGGTTAGAGCATGTATCGAGGAAGGCCATCGAAGGCCACGATGACATC